GTGACAGAACAAGACTCTGTCTCAAAAAAAAAAAGGCAGGAAACACACAGCTACTGCCCTGGAACTGATTGTCCAAACTGTCCCCTCAGGCGGGGAGGCTGTCATGTGGGCTGTGCCTCGAGGATTTTACTTGGTTTTATTACTGTCACCATAGAGCTCAGAGGCGGCAGCTTGGCTTCCCCCAGGTGGTTCCCAGCAGCGTGCCCCACATGTGTGCACCCCACTTCCTAGAAATCTGGACTGAGACCCCAGGCCTCTGTCTGGCTTCTCACGAACAGCTCTCTCTGGAGAGTTTCTTTTTTTCTTTTTCTGAGTTGGAGTCGCTCTGTTGCAGGTTGGGTGCGGTGTTTTCGGCTCACTGCAACTCACCCTCCAGGGCCCAGCAATTCTCTGCCTCCAGCCTCGGGTAGCTGGGAGTGGCGCGTGCCACCACGCCCGGCTAATTTTGTGTTTTTAGTAGAGACGGGGAGTTTCACCATGCTTGGCCAGGCTGGTCTTGAACTCCTGACCTCGTGATTCACCCGCCTTGGCCTCCCAAAGCGCTGAGATTACAGGCGTGAGCCACCATGCCAGCTGCGTCTGCAAGTTTCACATGCGGAGAGCTGCTGCTGTGTCATCGCTCATGGGCATGGACCGGGCTAAGCCCTCTCTGCCTCTCCTTTCCAGTGGCCAGCAATGGAAGCATCCCAGCCCAGAGACCTTGCACAGCCTATCAGGGACTGGTCACAGCACGCGGCCAGTGAAATCCTCAGGTTGGTTCTCTTCAGATGTGGGAGCAGCCTCCTTGGGGTCTCTCAAAGTGCCCAGGGCTCTCCCCAGCACTGCCTGCCCTGGCCTTCTGAACACACCTGCCCGCGTGGATCACAACCTTGTCGCTCTTCTTGTCTCAACTAGAAGTAACCGCAGCATGGCCCTTCCTGATTTCCAGGTGCAGGGTGAAAAGCATGCAGTGGCCTCGTGACGTGTTCAGGCCCTTGGCAAGGAGTCTAGCGGGTGTCAGCGTCTGCACTGCACCCTGAGTGGACTGACTCGGGGCCAGGATTGTCAGGGGAGCTGGAGGAGCCACGGGACAGCAGTTCACAGAGAGCCTGGATGGAGCACTCCGGGGCCAGAGTTGTTTGCAGACTTGGTACAGACTCAAAGACTTCAAAACGCCTGAGGCTACATAAGGGCAGCACTTCCCAGAGGAGGGCCTCTGGAAGGAGTCGTCCTTGACACAGGAGATGGAGGCGGCAGTGCCTTTCACCCTCTCTGGGAGGCCTTGTGCTGTGCTCGGCAGCAGTGCCAGCAGAGATGAGCACAAGGAGGTACAGCCTCTGCCAGGCCGGGTATGGCCAGGAGCAGGGTTGTGGCCAGGGCCACCGCTCACCCTCTCAGGATTGCAGAGGCTGGAGCACTCCCAGCTTCTCATGTGAGTCTGAGTGCGTCCACAGAAGCCACTGAGGCCATGGGAATGAGCCCGTGGTGCCCGCTGCCACCGCAGGGCACTCCATGAGCTGGGCCTGGGCTCAGTGTGCAGAGACATCTCCTCTCAGGTGACCGTGGGCTCCGATCTGCCATCACCTTGGAGAATGGGGTCGGGGGCAGGGGCTGTATGAAGGAAAGTCTACCCCTCGACAGGAGATGGGACCAGGGCCAGGCCTGAGACCCTGGCCGGCCCTGCTGACCAGCAGTGCAATTGTGAGCACGCCATCTGCAGTAGCACACACAGCCCCAGGTCCTGCTCCAGGTCTCCGTGGCCTGACTTGGGGGCTGTGTGGAGCTCAGGAGGCAAGAATCAACCAGCTGGACACCCCCACACCCGACACCTCCTGCACACACAGCAGGAGGCCTCCTGTCTCACTTATATCACCGGAGGGCAGAGCTGCGTGGTGAGCTGACCCCAGCCAGCCCCCACGAATGGTCACCATACCCAGCTGGTGGGTGGTGCGGACTTGGAGTGTCTGGGCGGACTTGGGTGTCTGGTGGGGCCATGGGATGCACAGAGCTGGGTTCTCGGGAGACAGTGCCAAGGCCAGCTGTCCTGAAGGAGGCCCCTGGCACAACGCCCACCAGGTTTCAGGGAGGGACTGAGACCACCTCAGTGCTGCAGTTCCTGGGGTCACGTGAGTCCACCTGGGGAAAGAGGCAGTGGACCCCACGCGGTGCACGGTGCGGCTTTGCCAGCAGAGGGAGCCCGCGTGCGGCTGGGCCCAGGGCTATGGGTCGTGGCAGAGGCTGTGGTGGGAATGGCCCTGCAGAGGCCCCAACCCCCTTGTCCTCTGCATTCCAGCCACCTGCCCTGGGCCCAGCCCCACAGGAAGGGGACCCAGCCTCTCTGAATAAAAGGTGCACAGGGGAACCAACGAGGCCTGGCACTGGGAGGGGACAGCTCCACCTCCTCTCCCCGGACACCCCAAAGGGCGGAGGAGAACTTCAAAGCTGTCCTGTCCGTGGCTGCTGTTTGTGGAGGAGGAAAGCATCCTGAGGAGACTGCAGGCTTGGTGTACATCTGATTTACTGAATTTTAAAGTCTGGGACGTTAGTGGGGAAGAGGGGAGGTGAGCATTGCGTGACACCACAGTCCTGGGAGCCAAGGACTAGGCGGGGCAGGGAGTGCGCCTGGCTAGGCACCCCCACCCTGGGCAACTCGCCCGCCGGCCCCAGGGTAGTGAGTAGTGACAGGATGTGGCCCAGGGGCGAGACCTCTCACAGCCAAAAGATGGTGTGGTTGCTGGGGCCTCCCTGGAGAGCATCGTCCCTGCAGCCCCTGGGAAGTGCTCCCACACAAGGCTTCCTGTCAGTGCGGTCCCGGGGCCTGACCATGGAGGTGGGTGGGTGGGGTCACCTGTCCTCAAGGTCCTGAATGCCCGGCTCTGCCCCATTCCTCTGATTCCCAGTGGCTGCTAGCTGGACCCAGCTGGTGTCCTGGGCATGAAGGCAGGGCCACCGTCCCCAGCAGGCGCTGCCCTCCCGGCTGGCTGAGCATCCTGGCCACACCACCAGCGTCCGGGTGCCCCTACTTGCCCTTCCTTTTCTTCAGAAGCCTTTGGGGACCTGACCTGGGCCAGCTTTTCCCCCGATTCCCCTTCCACTTCCTATCAGCGTCCAGGGCCCAAGCTGCCCACCCCAGGCCAGCCCTTGCCACCTGGGGCCGAGTCTTCACACGTGGGAGTCTGACCGGGGCTCCTCCCTGGACAGTCCTGGGTCTGATGCTCTCAACACCACCCACGAGCCTATACCACGCCTGACTCGGGGCGGGGATGGGGCCAGAGCTGTTGCGCGGTCCCACCAGGCGAGGCCCCAGCCCTGGAGGGCAGGCGCCAGGCGGGGAAGCCCTGTGGCCACAGGGAGAGGACCGGGGTCGTGCGGAGTCCGCGTGGGGAAAGGCCGGGCCTGCACCCTTCTCCCGAGCTGGGCGCCTCCGCACCGCGTTCGGGACACAGGGGCCCTCGGGTCGGCGCCGGGCCTCTCGGCAGGGAGGGGATGCCGGCTTACGGCTCACGGCTCGCGGTCCCCGGGGTCAAAGCACGGGGCACGGGGCGTGGTCGCGGGCGCGGGCCGTCCGCCGTGCAGGCCTTGGCGGACAGCGCGCTCTCGCGGCCCGAGCGGAAGGCGGCGGTCACGGTCACCAGGTAGGCGGTGCCTGGCGCCAGGCCCTGCAGCGTGGTGCAGTTGCGGCCCGCGGGCACCTCCACGCGCTGCGCCGCCCCGCCCCCCAGCGGCCCGAACTGCACGTGGTAGCCGAGCGCGGCGGCTGCGCCCAGCGCTGGGGCCCAGCTCACGCGGAGGCTGCGCGGCCGGGCGTGGGAGATGACGATGCGCTCTGGCCCGGCCTCCTCCGGGGCGGGGAGGGCGGCGAGCTGGGTGGGGGCCGGCCCAGCCCCCGGTCCTGCTTCACCCGGCCGCGTGCGCACCCGCAGTTGCTGGGGCCTCAGGAGGCGCACGTTGGACTCAGGCACCAGCGCCACCTCGTAGTCCGTGTCTGGGTCGAGGCCGGCCCAGGTCCAGTCTGTGGCGTTCCCCGGCAGCTGCTGGCGTCTCGCAGACCCCGGCTGGGCACTGGGCACCAGCTCCAGCACGTAGTAGCCCGAGTCTGCGGTCAGCAGGGGCGGCCAGGCCAGGCGGAAGCCGCTGGACGTGATCTCCGTGGCACGGAGCTGCTGCGGCCGCATCGCGTCTGTGGGTGGTGCAGGGGGTCGGGGAGCAGTGGTCAGTTCCTCCTCTGCTCCTGGAGGGCGGCCCTGGCTGATGGGGAAGATCTGGAGATTGGAGGCCCCACTAGGAAAGACGGGGCCCCGCGGCCAAGGAGCTGCTGGAGCCATGCCCCGCAGATGCTGGGGATTCTTAGAACGTGCCTTGGCTGGGGGAGGACTGAGGAAGGGGGTGCAGCCCCCTCGCCCTGTCAGAAGCGCCCCTGCCTCCCTCAGCCCAAACCCAGTCCTTTGTGGAGAGGTGCAGTGGCCAGATCAGTGACCAGGACAAAGGTCCTCAAAGACAGTAGGGTCCACGGTGGTACCTGAGAGCAGAGGACCAGCCCCAGCCTGAGTGGCCAGGCCCGGGTCTGAGGTCAGCCCGGCTCTCTGAGCTGCAGCCAGGAGATGGGAGATCACAGGGGCAGGCCCTGGGGTTCTGGAGGCGCTACCTGCCCCGGGTCCCCAGGAGAGTGTGGGGTGGGGTACTCCAGAGGGGGACTACTGGGCCCTTGACACCAAGCCCCACATAGCCCTCTGAGTGACCTGCTGTGGTGAGGCTCATAAATGTCTGCGCTGGGTTAAAGCTATCAGGATCTTCCTCCTGTAGCGCTGGGTGCCTGTGCTACTTTCTTCCCACCCCCACCCTCAGACCCAGCCTCTTTCCCAGGAGCCCCCACCCTGCTGCCTGGCCCCTCTGCACTGCAGCCTCAAGCTTTTCCTTTCCAGCTACTTAAGGCAGTCTTTCCTTCTGGTCCCCTCCAGGCACAGCTGCACTGGGTGACCCTGGGGCCACTAGGGGTCAGATGTCCCTGGCGAAACCTTGGGGCGGGCCGTCCACCCCTCTCCAACCCACAGTCCAACCCCTTCCGGCTCTGGGTGGATGATTAACCCACAGACGAGACTTGGTGAGATCCCTGGGGTTAGTGGTATTTTTCAGTGGCTGCAGCAGGCTGAGCCAGTGGCCAGTTTCCTCATCTCCAGCCTGAACTCCTTCAGGGCTTGGCTGGGGCAGAGATGTCCAGAAAAAAGCCAATGGGAGCTGCTCAACTCCTGCCTCAGGCCTTCCCTGGCCTGGCCTCTCAGGAAATCCTCACGGTAGGCCTGCAGTCCAAACCTGTTCAAAGCCCTCCGTGGCTGTCCCGACCCAGGAGAGGTACCCCGTGCTCTCTGGGGGGCAGTCCCTGACCTTTCTGGCTCTCCCCTCTCCAGGTATGGTGGGCATGCCCAGGAGCACATGCTGCCTATCTGCAGAGTCCCCAGACTCGCGAGCTTCTTCCTGGGCCTACACCTGGGCTCTGCACTCCATGGGGCCTCGAGGTCTGGGCTGGACCCGTCAGCAGGGAGCTACACTTGGAGGTGGCTACTCAAGCCCCCATCTCAGCAGGGCGCATGGGTCACCCAGTGGAGAGCGTGCACAGAGAAGCTGCATCACTCAGCCCTGCGCCCTAGGGGTACCACAGCCCCGGAGGCCCTGGCCGCTGCTCTGCGGACATGAGATATTCCCAAAGTCTCAACCCAGCCTCTCCTCCTGCAGCTCCCAGCTAGGCCCTGCCTGGGCCCTGCCTCCTCCCACCTACCGAGGATGGAGCCCCTCAGCTCTTGGACGATGATGTGCAGGTCATCCACGTCCACAAAGTGCAGGTGCTTCTCGGCAGGGGCTGAGGCAGCAGCTGACAGCTCCAGGAAGTTGCCTCGGCCGGTGCTGACGATGAACACGGTGACGCCCAGGTCTTTTAGCTCCTGCATGGGGGGTCCCACAGGGTCGCTGGAGCCGCCATCTGTCACCCACACCAGCACCTTGGGCACTCCTGGCCGGGCACCTGCTGCTTCAGCAAAGAGCTGTTCCTTGGCATATGCCAGCGCCAGGCCAGTGTGAGTGTCACCCATGCGCTGGACTGAAGCGCGAACAGCATCCTGAGCAGCCTCGCCTGAGCTGTGTTGGCCGAAGGGGAACTCAGTGTATGGCCGAGTGCCCACGTGCACCAGGCTGGCACGCAGGGCCCCGGTGCCCAGGGGCAGTGGAGCCACCAGCTGCCCCACAAACTCCCGAACCCGGGAGAACTCGTAGTGAGACACGCTGGCCGAGCTGTCCAGCAGGAACATCAGGTCCCCTCGGGGGGCTGATGCTGGTGGACCTGGGGGAAAGGAGGAATGCTCAGCCTCAGGTGTGGGCCCCCCAGACAGTCCCACAGCAAGGCAGGGTCCCCCAGGGCCTCAGCTTTCCTTAAGTGGGTGCTTGCCCTCCTCTGAAGGTCCTAGGTTGGGGGAAAGAGGAACTCTAAGACAAGCAAGAGGCCTGTACTTTTGGGGCTTTCACTCTGCACACTGGCCATAGGACTTACAGCTCTCTCTGGGCTGGTGTTATCCCATCTGTGAGAGGACGACTCCCTGCTCCAAGCCCCCACACCTTCCCATTCCTCACCGACCCTGCAAGCAGGTGGAGCCGAGTCCTGGCCTAGGTCCCCAGGACAGGCCTGAGCCATGGAGCTGCTCCCTCCAGGCATGGCTTTCAGAGGAGCAGCCCAAGGCTGGAGTTCAGCCACGCAGCTCAGGCTCCAGGTGAGGCACCGTGGGCACGCACACAGCAGCAGGGGAAGGTGTAGGAGGCAGAGCAATGACCCCGCCGGATGGCCTGGCTGGAGCCCAGACCCCACTTACCAGATGGTGTCCCCTCCCCTGGCCTCCATCCACCAGCCCACCTGGACACAAGACTCTTGTCTTGTGTGGACAAGACACACACCCCCAAGCAGCCTGAAAGCCCGATCAACCCCTCGCAGGCTTCCCCCTTCCTCCCGGCACCCCCGGGGTGGAGGCTGATGCCCCCCACATCACCCCTCCGCACCAAGCCAGGGACCAGCGTGCCTCAATTCTAGTCCCGGCCTTGCGGTTTTCCCCAGTGCGGTGGGGCGACTCCAATTTCCCTACCATCCCTCCACTGAGGGCCTTTGCAAGGGTAGGGAAACTGAGGCGAGGTGCCCCCTCGACAGACATCTCCCTCTTCCTGTCCAGGCCCGCGATCCCGCAGAAATGCGGGCCGGGCCGGGCCGGCCCCTACGCCCCGGCGCTCACAGACGGTGTCGCCTGGAGCACCTGGGCCGCCCGCCTCAGGTGAGCAGGACGCCCCGCCCACGCCCCCGCCCCCGCCCGCGCCCCCGCCCGCGCCCCCGCCCGGCTCCCGCAGCCTCCCAGCCCGCCCGCCAGCCCGGAGCGGGGGACAGCGACGGCCCTGCGCGGGCAGCGGCGCAGAGCGGGCACCAGGGGCCCCAACCCCGGCCCGGCCGTCTGCCGCACTCACCGCTCTCCGCGCCGCTCCGCGCCAGCGCCAGCCGCAAGCTCAGGGCCAGGCCGAGCGCCGTCCAGGGGAGCATCGCGCGCGACGGACGGGGCTGGGCAGCTCGCTGGCTTCTCTCGCTCGCTCGCTGGCGGCTGCAGGGCGCGTCACCGCGCGGACCAGGCCGGCCCCGCCCCCTGGAGGCCCCGCCCCGAACGGCCACACCCACGCCGAGGCCACGCCCACGCCCTCTTGCGCGAGCGGAGGGCCACGTGCACAAGCCCCGGAGAGGCGCACCAGCGGACCCCGACACGCAGGGACACGCAGCACCAGCCGAGATACGACGGAGGCATGCACGCGTGGGCACGCACACACACACTCCAGTCTCCCCTCCCGGCCGAGGCTGTGCGGCCGGCGCTCTCCACCCCTCTCCGACCCCCAGCCGCAGGAGCGGAGCAGGGAGGTACCAGGCTAGGCCCTCCCCATGCCCACCACTGCCGTGACTGTGGGTGCTGGGGTCCCTGCAGCCAGACCCAAGAGAACCCCAGGGGCTGGCGGTGGCACCAGAAAACGTCCAGAGCCTGGTTTCACCTTGGCCACAGAGCTGGAGGCTGGTGGGTGTCTGGGGGGAATAGGATACGTGTCCTAGGGACTGACCAGCGGAGATTGGAAGGGCCATGGGGTGGGACTTAGAAGGACACAGTGCCTTGAAAGGGGACAGAAGACAGGAATGTGAGAGAGACTGGAAGCTCCCACCCCACCTGGGCTTCTTGGAGGAAGAGGCATGGGAGTGGGAGACGGCTGGTTCAGGCCCTGTCCAGTGGGACCACACTGGGCCTGTTACCCATATACCCTACTCAATGAGGGGCCCAGACTCCAGGACCCAAGAAACACCCCCGGCAGGACTGGAGGGGCCCACTGGTGAGCCAGGAGCTCTTGGGTCTTGGGGTCTTGGCGAGGCCTAAACTAGAGGTGGCTGGCTGCAGGGGGTGTCCTGAGGCCCCCAGGGCAGATTTCCCTCGCTCAGGTGGGGCTGGGCCGGCAGTATCCCCTGGACAGGAGAACCCCACCCCAGCCCTCCCTCCAGTAGCCATGGCCCTCTCCCTGGGCCTCCTCAGCTCAGAGCTGGGGGGCGGGGGTGGGGGTGTGTCTGCCAGGATGTCCCCTCCTTCCCCACCCTCTCCTGGAGGATGCCCCGCAGGAGAACGGATGGGGCTCCATGAGCTTCCTTCCTCCCTTTCAGGCAGGTGAGACACCGCGGGGCGTGCAGACGGCCAGCGCTCGACTTTGCCTAAAAAAGGAAGCGGCAGGCTGAGTCTGAGGAGCTGGCGGCAGGAACAAGGGAGAGCTGTGTCCCCGCCGGCGCCCCCCGCCCCCCCCGCCAGGGATCTTGGCAGTGGAGGTGCTGGCTGGGCTCCACAGACCTCAGGCCTCCGCTGGGACCAGAAATGCCTTGTGCTTCCGCCTGGGCCTGGTGGGGGGACTTTGGGTCCCCAGAGTGCGAGCTGTGCCACTCCGAGGGGCCTTACCAGGCCCCCCAGCCCCCAGCACACAGGGGATGCTGTGGAGATGACGCTCAAGGCCACAGCCGCTGGAGGATCTGAAGTCTGACCGGAAGCTGGCTGCAGACCCTGCGGAGGCACACCCAGGTAGTCAAGCAGGGAGCTGGGCCGAGGGTCCCCCACCCTGGGGAGGCTCACAGCCAGTGGCCTGCTCGTCCCCCACCCCTGCCCAGCAGGCGGGCCACAGTCACACCTCAGCCTGCCCTGCTGGGCTGACGGGGAAGTTTCCCTCACTTCTGGAAAAAGTGAGCAGGTCTTCTTGGCTGTAACTCAGGCCCTCAAGGAAGCTGCCGCCCTCCTCCCTTCAGCTCGCCGTCAGCGGGAGAAGGCACAGGAGGCCTGGCCTCCACCCAGCCTGGGCCGAGCTCAGCCACCTGCCTTGCTCCCAGCTCTGCCTGGAGTCCCTCCTGCTAGGAGATCCTCCCCATCAGCTCTCCCCCTGCTCCTCAGCCTTCAGGACTCATTCCTATGTCCCGCCCTCCACCCGCTGTCTCCACCGCAGAGGAAGGACGTGGACAGAGGGTCTCAGAGAGCATGGGGTCAGCCAGAGGTGCAGTGTCAGGGCCCGGGCCGGACTTGAGGCAGACACCAGAGGAAGCACAAATATAACAGCCGGAACCCTCCACTCTCCAGGGAGAAGGGCCCGGGGTAAGATAAGCAGGGCAAGGACGGATCAGGCCAGATCACAGTGGCTCCTGGCCCCAAGCCTTCTGCCTCCTGCAGGCATAGCCCCTGTCTGATCCTGGTGGCCTTGGGCCCCACAGGGTGGGGAGCAGCCTGGTGTGGCTGCGGCCACCCTGCCCCCACGGTCTGGGCCTGGGCTGTGGGAGTCCTTGTGCCTCACTTCCCGGAGCCGGCCTGCCCTGCCGGTCTGTCTGCAGGCAGGTGGAGGGGGTTCCGGGAAGCTGGGGACGCTGCTCTCACCCGGGCACCGCCCTGCCCCCACCCCCCTTTGGGAATGCTTCCTCCTCCGCACAATCCAGGCTTCTGCAGAAGAAGGGCCTTTTGTCCCCAGCTGGCTGTGCTCATGTTTGACCCCGGGGAAAAGGGCAACTCCTGAAGCCTCTGACCCCACCCCTGACCCAAGCCGAGGGCAGAACGCCCAGGCCCGCACCCGGCGCCTTTGGTTGCTGTTTTCGTGTATCTCATAAATGTACTCAAGCACACATTGGAACAGATGGAAGAGGCGGTGAGGGGCAGCAGTGCGGGCCTGAGGCACTGCTCTGGGGTGTGCCTGAGCCCGGGACCCCACCCCATAACAGTAAGTGGGGCAGAGCCGGGGTCACCAAGAGAGCAGGGCCCACCCAGCTCCTAGACTCAGCCTGCTCCCTAGGGTCAAAGGCAGGTCCTGGGGTCACTTTTCACTTCCCAGGAGCCCAGGACTGCCCCTCTGGCGCCAGAGCTGACCCCACTCAGTCTCCTGTGCCAGCAGCAGCTGGGGTGGCGGGTAGCAGCCTGGGTAGGGGGCGGGAGCCGCACCGTCTGCATCTGTCCATCCATTCCTCGTCTGTGTGCTGGGCACAGCTGCACCCCGGCCTCAGCGCTGGGGACACACAGGCGCCAGGCCAGCACTGCCAGGCTAGGAGGGGTGGGCTGTGAACAGCTAGGAAAGATACGGTCTACTTGTTTTCCCTGTGAGAACGGGGGGTCACTGGGGACTCACACGCAAGGGTACTCGAGGAAGAGACTTCCGGGCAGAGAGAAGGAACCTCGAGTACTGAGACCAGGGTGGGGTGGGCAGGAGGGGCCTGCACCGGGACAGCAGGGGCAGAGCAGGCTGGGGGCCTTTGGGAGGGGTGGCCGGGCTCCTGAGTGCAGCATTCAGAAGCCAGGTGGGGGCTGCTGCTGGCCTCGGTGGGGGCAGGAGGTTCGACGCAGCGAGAACAGAGCCCGGCCCCGTGGGAGCCAGAGAGTAACAGGCCTGAATGGCCCAGGGTTTCCCAATAGCAGGGCCCCTTCCTTGTGTGGGTCCCCTCACTTTGCCTCTCTGCTGGGACATCCTTCTCTGAAAGGGAGAGGACGACGACACACTGCTCCTTCCCTAGACACAGTCAGGACAGGCTTAGACCACAGCCCTGGGCAGACCCAAAACTCCCAGGGGCCTGGACCAGGGTTGGAAGGAGGCAGCAGGGAGGGACTGACCTATGTCCACACACGAGGGACTCCCCAGAGGCAGGTTGGGCGGGGCTGGGAGCAGGGGCCTTAGCCCTCAGACCAGCCCACTAACCCTGGGGAGTTCCTGCCCCACAGCCTTCCCAGCTTACAGGCCTGGGGACAGGGGCAGGCCAGCACAGGCCAGAGGGACAGAGGGAACCACATCTGAGGGGCCCCCCAGCTGTTGACACCGTCTGAGGCTGTGCTTGCCAACAACTGTGCTCCCAGGAAATATTTTGCAAAGCAGGAAATGACACGGGGCAAGTGGGAAGCTCGCTCCATCCAGTGGGGCGGGGCCCCTTACTGCCCCCCTGCCCCAGAATGAGGCATGATGGGGACGCAGATGGGACACACACAGGCACACACACTCTGGGCTCCCTTTCGGACAAGGCAGAGGCTCCAGCCACTGGGAAAGAACGCCAGGCAGAGGTCCCCACAGCCACCCCGAGGCCCCCACAGCCACCCCACAGTCCCCATGGCCACCCCGAGGCCTCCACAGCCACCCCACAGTCCCCACGGCCACCCCGAGGCCCCCACGGCCACCCTGCAGCTCAGCTCCTCCACCCGAGGAGTTCAGGCCCCTGGGCCAGGGGAGAGCTGCGGTAGAGACTGCAGGAAGAGGAAGCTGCTTCTGGCCCTCAGGCTGGGGGAGGGGCTCTGGGGAAGGGGTGTAGAGGCACCCTCAGGGTGGGGGCCGGCCTGGGGACCCAGGGCCCTGAAGCGGGGTTTTGATCATGGGCGCCATGCTGGGCAAAAGTGGGGAGAGATTCGTGGGGTCCAGGTGGAGTCCTTCCCTGGCAGGGGCTAGAAGGACTGGGCAAAGGCCAACTATATACCTGGGGCCTTGAGGAGGGGCACCCTGGCTGGGGTCCCCACCTCCTCCTCATTTCATGCCCCCCTCCTGGCTTCCCAGATGGTGGCCAATAAGGAAGCTGCTTAGGATCCATGAAAGAGGCTAGGCAAGGACCGTCCCGGAAGAACCCAGGGGCCTCAACAGGGAGTCTGTTCAGTCCTAGGGGGTGGGGCCCCTGCCCCAGCACAGGGGCTCTGGCCTTCCTGAATCACCCCTTCCTTGCTTCTTTTCCGCAGGCCAGGCCTCTGCTATCCGGGGCTATGGCCTGCCACAGGCGCGTTCCTACACCCCTCTGAACCGCCCACAGGCCCCCACAGGTGTTCCTCTGCGAGCTGGTCCAGCAGGCGGGGCTGGGGCCGGGCATCGCTGCTCCGTGCCTTCAACTTCCCTGACAGTGCGGGACCTCAGGGTGGGCCTGGGAAGCTGGAAACACCTTTGGAAACAACTGCCTGAGGCAGCTGTGGACAGAAGCCCCTGCCGAGCAGCCAAAGGAGCTGGCCTCTCCACTCAGCCTCCCCACCCCCACCAGGCCCAGCTGTTGTTTTCATGGCTCCGGAGCCAGGCGATGCTCAGCCAAGAGCTTCCCAGGAGAGCCCTCATCTTCAACCCCTAGTGGCGGCCAGAGCCAGCCCAGGCAGGAGGGGAAGGAAGGCAGCCGTGGCCCCGGGGAAGCCATCCTGGCAGCTTGGCCACTGGCCCAGCTCCTGTCTGACCAGGAAAGGCATCAAAGTCGGACTCGGATGGAGGCTGGAAAACCCCGAAACTTCTGCTGGACTCAACCCAGCCACACACCAGGCTGTGCTCAAGGCTACGGAATGAGCCTCGACCCTGATCACAGGCTAAGCCTTGACCCTGGCCCCAGATGGAGCCCAGACCTTGCTGGTCACAGGCTGAGCCCTGCTGGCAATATGATATACTAGATCCCTTAAAAGGCCTTCCAGCAACAACCAGCTTCTGGATGAATTACTATGAGCATACATTTTTAATAGACTGCTGGGCTTCCAAGAAAGTAAATATCTCCAAGGCTCCCCCAAAATTAAACAGCAAAAATAAATAAGGCCAGGTCGGGTGGTTCATGTTTATAATCCCAACACTTTAGGAGGCCGAGGCGAGAGGATTGCTTGTGCCCAGGAGTTCGAGACCAGCCTGGGCAACATGATGAGACCCCGTCTCTACAAAAAATTTTAAATTAGCTGGGTGTGGTGGTGCACTCTGTAGTCGCAGCTACTTGGGAGACTGAGGCGGGAGGATCACTTGAGCCTGGGAGGTCGAGGCTGCAGGGAGCTAGGAGCTCACCACTGCACTCTGCCTGGGCGGCAGAGCAAGACTCTCTCTCAGTAGACAAACAGAGTAATGTGGAGGCCCGGATGATGAAGGGAAGTGGCTGGGAAAGCCGATAATTCACTGGACACACACAGGGTCAGCCAGCCAGCCTGTGGCCAGCGAACAAGTATGCTGCTCTGCATAGGGGCTGCTAAACCAGGGGTCTCAAGGGTCACCGAGGGGGCCCAAGGTGGTCTCGCCTGGAAATGGGGAATAGTCTCTGGAGGGAAGCATCTCCAAGTTGGACCTCAGAATTGTCACAGATAACGGCTGACAATTAGACATTACCAAACGTTCAGAGAACCACCATGCTACTGATGAGAATCAGTAGAAACAACCATTCACAGATTTAGACCCCTAAAGACTAGGAAATTGGAATTACTTAGTACAGAATATAAAATAACTATATATAAAATTTGTTTCAGAAGTGGAAGCTGTAATCCAAAAAGTAAGCATGTACCAAGAGACCATAAAAAGCGATCAGACAAATCTAAAACAGAATCACATGTAACTTTTAGATATGTTAACCCCCTCCCCCCTTTTTTTTTGAGATGGAGTTTCACTTTGTCACGCAGGCTGGAGTACAGTGGCGCCATCTCAGCTCACTCCAACGTCTGCCTCCAGGGTTTAAACGATTCTTGTGCCTCAGCCTCCTGAGTAGCTGGGACTACAGGTGTGCACCGCCATGGCCAGCTAATTTTTGGTTTTTTTGTTTGTTTTTAAGATGGAGTCTTGCTCTTGTCATCCAGGCTGGAGTGCAGTGGCACGATTTCGGCTCACTGCAAACTCCACCTCCTGGGTTCAAGTGATTCTCCTGCATCAGCCTCCCAAGTAGCTGGGGTTACAGGTGCCCGCCACCATGCCCAGCTAATTTTTGTATTTTTAGTAGAGACGGGGTTTCACCATATTGGCCAGGCTTGTCTCGAACTCCTGGCCTCAGGTGATCCATCCATCTCGTCGTCCCAAAGTGCTAGGATTACAGACGTCAGCCATGGTGCCTGGCCTGGATATGCTGGATATGTTAACATAATAATTTAAGATAAAATGAATGAGTTAAGCAGCAGATTAGACAGAAGAGAGTAATTTGACGAGGGGGTAAAAAAGGAAGCGGTGAGGATATGGAGAAGGAATTCGCGGTGAAACTGGAGATAATGGTTGAGGGATTTCCGGAGCTGATGAACGTTGTGGACCTGTGGCTTACACCAAACAGGGTGGGTGTGAGCTCGGCCCAGCTGGGACGTGCTGGTGAGACCGAGGAACACCAGAGTCAGTGAGATCTTAGAGTCATCCTGAGAGAGCCCCCAGATGCTGGCGCCTGTCTGAATGCGAGCCTGCCACAGGCTGAGCCCTGCAGCCGCCACCCGTGGGCTTCTGGAACCCTGGGCGTGGCCGAGCGTGGGCGTCTCCACTGGGAGTCCCAGAGCCCTGGACGCTGGAGGCCGGGACCTGGGCAGACACGAGAGGCCTTGGGGCTGGGGCCTCACCCCCTCCTCTGAGGGCCGCCTGCCGGGCTCTGCCCTGCCCTCCCCTCCCCTCCCCTGCACTCCCCTCCTCTGCACTCCCCTCCCCTGCACTCCCCTCCCCTCCCCTGCACTCCCCTCCCCTCCCCTCCTCTGCACTCCCCTCCCCTCCCCTCCCCTCCTCTGCACTCCCCTCCCCTCCTCTGCACTCCGTGGCGGGGGCGGGGCTGCAGACGGGGGAGGCCGGGGTCGTAGCCGGGAGCGCTGCGCGCGCAGCCAGGAAGGGGGAGCGGGCGCGACCCTCAGTTTCCCGGGCCGGGCCACGCGATGGGGTCGCGCGCGAGCTCGGAGGCCTCTCGGGGTTTCGCAGCGGCCGCCGGGTCACACCCAGGCGCAGAGTTGTTCGTCCCCGTCGGGGCGCCCCGGTGGGCGGCGGGGTCCGGGGTTCCCAGCGGGCGGAGGCAGCAGCGGGCGGAGGCGCCGGGCCAGGCGGGCGCGGACGGCCGAGGCGAGCACCAGCAGCGGCGGCAGCGAGAGAAGCCCGAACACGATGAGCGCCGCGGAGCCGCGGTCCGAGAACAGCGCGTGGCACCGGGGACCGGGAGCGGGGTGGACCTGGGGGCCGGGCGGGCGGTCAGTGGGGGGCGGGCGGGGCGATGGAGCTTCCGGAAGGGAGAGGAGAGGGAGCGGGGCCGGGTGATGGAGGGAGAGGAGGGGGCGGAGGAGGGGGGGCGGGACGGGATGATGGAGGGGAGGGGAGCAGGGCAGGGTGATGGAGGGAGAGGAGGGGGCGGAGGAGGGGGGGCGGGACGGGATGATGGAGGGGAGGGGAGCAGGGCAGGGTGATGGAGGGAGAGGAGGGGGCGGGACGGGATGATGGAGGGGAGGGAAGCAGGGCAGGGTGATGGAGGGCAGGGGTGGAGGAGAGGGGTTGGGTGGGTCAGGGTGATGAAGGGGCGGTGACGGCCGGACGGTGAGGGATGGGTGGGCGGTAGCAGGGTGGAGGGCGGGGGAGAGAGCGGGGTGGGAGAAAGGATGCTAGGCCGCGGCAAAAGGAGATGGAAGGGTGCAGGGCGGGAGAGAGGAGTGGCCGATAGAGAAGATGAAAGAGCAGGGACGGGGCGATAGAGGGGCCGGGGCGGGTTGAGCAGGGCGGGGAGAGGGAGGGGGAGATGGAGGGATGAAGGATTAGGGCCTGGGCGGAGAGAGGGGAGGGGCGGGCCGCTGTGGGCCGGACAGTGATGAGGGGTGAACGGGAGATCCGGGACGCAGCAGGTAAAGGGCCGAGCAGGGTCCGTCGAGGGGAGGCTCAGAAAAAGCGCCCACTGCCGTGTTCTGTCCCCCTGCGCCGTCCCATCACCAGCTGGCGCCATCCCCCATGCCAGCAGAAAGGGGCCCGGGGCCATCTGCCTAAACTCCAGCCCCCAGACCAGGCCACAGCCCACTCCGCAGGGGGGAAGCCCCGCCCTGGCAGGAGGGCCTGGGAGGGGCCGTGTGTGTAGGAGGGACGGGGGGCTGTGCGTTAGTGAAACTTGACAACATTTTCATCTTCTTTTCCTGGAACCCCGTTCTCTCCCCACCCCCACCCAGCTGTCCAGGCCCTGGTGGCCCCTGGTACAAGGCCGGGAGGCCTCGGGGAGGGGACAGAGCTGTCCCTTGGGTGAAAAACAAAAGCCCTTTTTTGGCTGCGGCTGGTGGGGGTGCTTGGGAGAAGAAGGGGCTGCCAGGTAGGGGCACATGTGTCTCCGAGGACAAGGGGCAATACTGGAAAGGAGCACAGTGGCCTTCAGCCGCAGGGCACGCCCACTCCCCAGGACCCCAGCTAGTCCCCCGCCCATGGGGCACAGGCTCACCCTCGAGTGGCACAGGAATCCCAGGTAGACGACGGCCGCTGCGGGCAGGAGCACCAGCAGAAAGGCTGTGGCGGGCAGCAGGAGGTGCAGCAGGAGCCCGGCCACCAGCCGGCCGGGCAGCAGCAGGGGCCCCGGCCACCCTGGGCACGGCAGGGCTGAGGCCTGGTGGTCGGGAGGTCCCCTGGGCAGCATAGGGGCTGTGTCCGAAGCACCGCCTCCCTCCTCCTCCTCCATCTCCCTTCCCTGCTCACTCATGCTCCTGACGCTGCAGGCCTGCAGCCGGGGTGGTGTTCAGGTGCAGAGCAGTGCTCTCCAGGGCCACCCTAGAAGACCTTTAACCCCGCCCCACGTTGCAGCTAGTCCACATCTCCCAGCCAGACCGTGGCCCCTTGCTAGGGATGGCAGCTAGTCCACATCTCCCAGCCAGACCATGGCCCCTTGCTAGGGATGTCCTGCCCTGATGTCTGTCCCAGAGCCACACCCCCACCTCAGTTTCCCCTCTGCCAGGCAGCTGCAGCTCCAGCCGCGCCAGTCTCCAGTCCCAGCCAGCTCCTGGTGCTCTGGGCAGGCCTTGCAGGGCCCTTCCCACCAGGGCCTCCTCCCTCCCTGTCCCGCCCTCCCCCTTTGCCGCTCCCCCACACAAAGACTTCATTTCAAAGGGATTGACTCTGACAGCTGCCCCATCAGTAGCTGCCACCTGGAGCCCGGCCCCCCACCCCATTTCCCAGCCCCAGCCCCGCTGCTCCCTCATCTGAACGCCTTGTCAGTGTCCTCTGCCTGTGTCTCAGAGTGGATGAGAGGGCATCTGGGATGCGCGTGAGCTGTAAGGTGTGGGGCCTGTACACAGCAGGCACTCAGCAGGCAGCCAGGGACCACAGGCACCCTCCTGTCTGAACGCAGCCATCCCGAGCAGAGGAAAGGCAGATTTTCCAGGACAAGAACCTGTCTTCCATCATTTCTTTTTTTTTTTTTTTTTTTTTGAGACAGAGTCTTACTCTTACCGGGGCTGGAGTACAGTGGCACGATCTCAGCTCACTGCAACCTCTGCATACCTGGTTCAAGTGATTCTCCTGCCTCAGCTTCCCTAGTAACTGAGACTACAGGCACTTGCACCATGACCAGCTAACATTTGGTTTTTTTTGGAAGGAGTCCGCTCCCTTGCCCAGGCTGGAGCGCAGTGGTGCAATCTCAGCTCACTGCAAGCTCCGCCTCCCAGGTTCACGCCTTTCTCCTGCCTCAGCCTCCCAACTAGCTGGGACTACAGGCGCCCGCCACCTCGCCCGGCTAATTTTTTTGTATTTTTAGTAGAGACAGGGTTTCACCGTGTTAGCCAGGATGGTCTCCATCTCCTGACCTCGTGATCCGCCCGCCTCAGCCTCCCAAAGTGCTGGGATTACAGGCGTGAGCCACCGCGCCTGGCTGTATTTTTTTTTTAGTAGAGACGGGGTTTCACCCTGGTGGCCAGGATGGTCTTGATCTCTTGACTTTGATGCCCGCCTCGGCCTCCCAAAGTGCTGGGATTACAGGCATGAGCCGCCGCGCCCAGCCCATCATTTCTAGTCAGGGGCAAAACTTTTCCCATCCAAAATCCCAACCAGTTTCTCTGAACGTTACTCCCAAGTCTGACTTTTTTTTGAGACAGGGTCTCATTCTGTCACCCAGGCTGCAGTACAGTGGTTCAATCACAGCTTACTGCAGCCTTGACCTCCTGGGCTCAATCAGTCCTCCCACCTCAGCCTCCTAAATAGTTGGGACTACAGGCACCTGCCACCACGCCTGGCTAATTTTGGTATTTTTGTAGAGACGGGATCTTGTCATGTTGCCCAGGCTGGTCTGGAACTCCCGGCCTCAAGTGATCTGCCTGCCTGGGCCTCCCACAGTGCTGGGATGACAAGCATCAGTCCCCGCGCCCGGCACAGCCCCTGATGTCTGTCGGTCTCCCAGGGCTTTATTGCACATCAGTAGTTCCAGCTCCATTTTCTTTTCTTTCTTTCTTTCTTTTTTTTTTTTTCGAGGTGGAATTTTTTGCTCTTGTTGCCCAGGCTGGAGTGCAATGGCACGATCTCGGCTCACTGCAACCTCCACCTCCCAGGTTCAGGCAATTCTTCTGCCTCAGCCTCCCGAGTAGCTGGGATTACAGGCGCCCACCACGCCCAGCTAATTTTTGTATTTTTAGTAGAGGTGGGGTTTCACCATGTTAGCCGGAATGGTCTCAAACTCCTGACTTCAGGTGATCCGCCCGCCTCCGTCTCCCAAAGTGCTAGGATTACAGGCATGAGCCACTGCACTCAGCCTCCAACTCCATTTTCATAATCAATTGACAGGAGTAGGTGTCTGTGAGCTGAGCCGTTCCTGGTGAGGTCTTCTAGTGGGCTCCATCCCTTTCAACACATTCCAGGCCTCTCCATCTTGCCTACTTCTTTCAGACCTGTGAACAGGAAGGAGAGTGGCACCACGTGGCATGTGACATCTAGCAGGGCAGTAGAGGCCTCCCTGCAGTGTCCCTACAGCGCTGGGCACGGTGGCTCACACTGTAATCCCAGCACTTTGAGAGGCTGAGGTGGGTGGATCACTTGAGGTCAGGAGTTTAAGACCAGCCTGGCCAATTTGGTGAAAGCCGGTCTCTGCTAAAAATGCAAAAATCAGGCCAGGCACGGTGGCTTATGCCTGTAATCCTGCACTTTGGGAGGATGAGACAGGTGTATCACTTGAGGTCAGGGGTTCGAGACCAGCCTGAACAATGTGGTGAAACCTCGTCTCTTAAAAAAAAAAAAAAATTAGCCGGGCTTGTTGGCATGTGCCTGTAGTACCTGCTACTCGGGAAGCTGAGACAGGAGAATTGTTTGAACCCGGGAGGAGGAGGTTGCAGTGAGCCGAGATCAAACCATTGCATTCCAGCCTGGGCGACAGAGCGAGAATCCATCTCAAAAAAAAAAAATTAGGCGTGGTGGTGGGCGCCTGTAATCCCAGCACTTTGGGAACCTGTGGAAGGCGGATCACTTGAGGTCAGGAGACCAGCCTGGCCAACATGGTGAAACCCTATCTCTACTAAAAATACATAAATTAGCCAGGAGTGGTGGTGGGTGCCTGTAATCCCAGCTACTTGGGAGGCTGAGGCAGGAGAATCACTTGAACCTGGCAGATGGTGGTTCCAGTGAGCTGAGATCACGCCACTGCACTCCAGCCTGAGTGACAGAGTGAGACTCCATCTAAAAAATACAAATAGAAAGTTTTAAAAAGTTGCAAAACCTCTGCTTTCTAAGTGCCCCCCAACCAGGCCCCTCACTTCAACACACACTGCTGAACTGCTACTGAGTCCCAGGGACTGTCACCAGAAAAGGAGGTCCCGATCCAGACCCCAAGAGAGGGTTCTTGGACCCCATGCAAGAAAGAATTCGGACGAGTCCACCAAGTAAAGTGAAAGCAAGTTCAATAGGAAAATAAAGGAATAAGAAAGGGCTGCCTTGTGGGCTGAGCAGCGGCCTGGGCTGCTCCACCGAGAACACTTACTGTTTCCTGGGAAAGAGGCAGGCAATTCCCGGAAGTGAGGGTTCCTCCCTGTCTTAGACCATCTAGGGTAAGTTCTGGCGTTGCCATGGCAACCGTAAACGGTGCTGGTGGGCGTGTATCTCATGCTAATGTATTATAATCAGCGCATAAAGAGCAGTGAGGACTGGCTGTCTTGGTTTTGGTGGTTTGGGGCCGGCTTCTTCACGGCATCCTGTTTTATCAGTGGGGTCTTTGTGACCTGTATCTTCTGCTGATCTCATCCTGTGACTAAGAATGCCTGACCTCCAGGGAATGCGGCCCAGCCGGTCTCGGCCTCATTTTACCCAGCCTGTTCAAGATGGAGCCGCTCTGGTTCAAATGTCTCTGCAGAACCACTCCAGGTTCTTTGGATTCCACAGCAAGGGGGCTGCGGCCTCTGCCCTTCCGTGCCCCACTGTGTGTGGGTCCTACAAGCATCACAGAGGCAGCTGTGGCTGCCCCCACTATGGTGGAACCTGGGAGACGGGAGTCTTGGGAGTGGCCTCCTGGAGGTCCATTCTCGCCTCTGTACCTCTGGGAAGCTGGCATGAGGCAGTTTCTGGGGCCTCCCTGGCCCTGATGAGTATGGGACTTTCCACCCAGCCCCCAGAGTTCCTCACATCTTTCCTGGTCAGCCTCACAGAGCTTTCCTTCTAGAAGAGGAAGGCAGACATTTAAATAAAATAAACACATACTTTCCCGTAGTGATAAATGCTAAAAACTAAAACGGTTAGAGATGCACGTTGTGTCAGACCCATCAGTGGTCAGGCTCTGGGAAGGTGACCAATGAGTAGCCTGATGAGGTTTGCAGGGCAGGGTCTGTGTGGCTGGGTGGGTGGTGGGATGGGGCCCCTGGTCCCTTGTCTGGAGACCCTTTGGGCCCTTGGAGAGGCAGTCCTCTAGGGAGTGGGGGAGGCCAGGCCTGGGCCCTCTGGAGACCCTGTCCTTGGGGACCTGGGAGGCTGAAGGGGGCTGAGGTGGGAATGGGTAGCCCCCATCACCTTTCCCGTGCAGCTGCTGGAGGGGCCAGGCTGCTGCAGCCATCCCAAAAAGCCATGCTCCCTTCTGTCTGGCCCGAGGTACTGGGAGACAGGAAGATGCCCTCAGCACCAGCCCCACCTACCCTGTGCCAGGCCCCCAGAATCCCGCTGCCCCAGGCCTTGCTTGAGCAGAGCTGCTTTTCCACATGCAGACGTGCCCTAGCAGGGATTCTCCCCACACTCCCTCCTGCCCCCCGCCCCCACCTGCCCCAGCATCTGACCCTTCCCTGGCTCCAGACTTGCCCCAGCCAGTCCCCAAAGGGTTTTCATCCCTACTATGCCAGCGCCACCCTCTTCTCCCGGCCACCTGCCTGGAGTCCTTGTTGAATCTTTTGTCCTGTCCAGCATTTACAGAAAGGAAGGCCAGTGGCCGGGCGCGGTGGCTCAAGCCTGTAATCCCAGCACTTTGGGAGGCCGAGACGGGCGGATCACGAGGTCAGGAGATCGAGACCATCCTGGCTAACACGGTGAAACCCCGTCTCTACTAAAAAATACAAAAAACTAGCCGGGCGTGGTGGCGGCGCCTGTAGTCCCAGCTACTCGGGAGGCTGAGGCAGGAGAATGGCGTAAACCCGGAGGCGGAGCTTGCAGTGAGCTGAGATCCGGCCACTGCACTCCAGCCTGGGCGACAGAGCCAGACTCTGTCTCAAAAAAAAAAAAAAAAAAAGAAAGGAAGGCCAGAACCTCGCCCTGCTCTCCTCCCTAGCCTGGAATCGGAGGGGCCGGCACCCACCCCTGAGTGGGCTCAGCCAGCAGGGACAGGAGTGAGGGTGAGGGGGCTGCCCGAGGGTGGGCACCATGGAGAGGCCTGTGAGGCCTTCCAGGGGCATGTCAGGGCACATCCAAGGCTGTGCTTCCTGGGGGAGGTGGCATCTGAGCAACTTTCGTCCACAGGCATGTTCCTGCTTGTCCTGCCCAACCGCCCTGGCCTTTGTTCCCCAGGAGGGCAGCCGAGCTGACAGCCACAGGGGAGGAGCATGTTGGGCAGGGGCTGTGCCTGAAGGTAGGGCCTTCCTAAGTGGCTGAGTAAACAGCTTCAGGTGTTCTCAGCCTGGCCCAGGGGACCAGCTGTGTTCTCCCACCCCCTGCAAGGCTGAAGCTGCCGCCTTTCAGCAGCATACTCTCCACCCCAACGCCTGCAGAAGGCATTTTGTGAAGAAGGCCAGCACACTGGGCTGGGGGCAGCCAGAGGCCTCCACGGTGGATGCAGGATCCCTGCTCCCCCAGATGGACTCCCAGAGGCCTGAGCCCAGAGAGGAGGAGGAGGAACAGGAACTGCAGTGGATGGAGCTGGACTCCAAAGAGGCCCTGGGAACCAGGACAGAGGAGCCTAGTGTCTTCCAGGGCTGGGGGCACTTACTCCGGGCCGTGTGGAGGGGCCCTATAGGCCTGGTGATGCAGCTGCTGCGGCAAGGGGCCAGCGTGGAGGAGAGGTGCACCTGGGCTGGGGGGTGAAGGGGTCTGCTCGCTGGGTGGGGCAGGATGGGGGTCCCAGCACTGGGTGGGTGGAGGAGTCCTTTTTCTGGCTGGGGTAGACGGGGGTCCCAGCGCCGGGTGGGCGGAGGGGTCCCTTCTCTGGTTGGGGTAGGACGGGGGTTCCAGTGCTAGGTGGGCGGCAGGACGGGGTGGGGCTGGGCGGGGTTCTGGTCAGTGGTCCATCCCCGCGCCGACGCCCTTGCCCCCTCCTCAGGGACCACGCAGGCCGGACCCCGCTCCACCTGGCAGTGCTGCGGGGCCACGCGCCCCTGGTGCGTCTCCTGCTGCAGCGAGGGGCCCCGGTGGGCGCGGTGGACCGGGCGGGGCGCACGGCGCTGCACGAGGCCGCCTGGCACGGGCACTCGCGGGTGGCCGAATTGCTGCTGCAGCGCGGGGCCTCGGCGGCGGCACGCTCCGGGACGGGCCTCACGCCGCTGCACTGGGCAGCCGCCCTGGGCCGCACGCTGCTAGCCGCGCGCCTGCTGGAGGCTCCGAGCCCGGGACCAGCGGCGGCGGAGGCAGAGGACGCGCGCGGCTGGACGGCGGCGCACTGGGCGGCCGCGGGCGGGCGGCTGGCGGTACTGGAGCTGCTGGCGGCCGGCGGCGCGGGCCTGGACGGCGCCCTGCTCGTGGCGGCCGCAGCCGGGCGCGGGGCGGCGCTGCGCTTCCTCCTGGCGCTCGGGGCGCGGGTGGATGCTCGGGATGGCGCGGGGGCCACAGCGCTGGGTCTGACGGCCGCCCTAGGCCGCCCGCAGGTACGTCCCGCCCTCCGCCCAGCAGTGATGGGATGGGGCGCAGGGCCAGGAGCCCCAGAGAGGTGCCCCCGGGGCAGCCGGAGCCGGGCTGGGGGACGGTGTCCGGGCACGAAGGTGACCGCGCCCCCGGCTGTGCCCCTCCCGTGTAGACCAGGGCGGGATCCGAGGCCCGGGGCTTGGCTTCATGCTGGTGGCAGCAACAGACTCTCTGCCAGCGCCCGGCTTGTGCCCGAACCCCCCTGTTCCCGGGCAGCGGGCAGGTCTGCAGATCCTTGAATTTGCTCTAAGGACCCTTAGGGGAAAAAGTGACGTTTCCAAACAGAGTCGCTGCAGGCCAGCCTTGGGTTCGGCCTCACTTAAAGCATGAGGAAATAGTGTCAGGAGAGTCAGGCCACTGGGGGGACAGAAGAGTCCTGGGCTGGGCAAACGCTTGGTGGCTCTGCCCCTCGCCTGCTGGGCTGAGGCCAGCCCCTGCTCTTCTTCTCTCCTCTTCTAGGACATTGAGGTGCTGCTGGGCCATGGGGCAGACCCAGCCATCAGGGACAGGCATTGCCGCTCTGCGCTGCACAGGGCTGCCGCCGGGGGACACCTGCCCACTGTCCAGCTGCTGGTCACCCAGGGGGCCAAGGTGGATGCGCGGGACACCCTGGGCTTCACGCCCCTACACCACGCCTCTAGGGAAGGCCACACAGAGGTTGCCAGCTGCCTCCTGGACAGGGGTGCCCAGGTGGATGCTACCGGCTGGCTCCGAAAGACCCCCCTACACCTGGCTGCAGAGCGAGGGCATGGCCCTACCGTGGCACTGTTGCTGAGCCGAGGGGCCAGCCCCACCCTGCGGACGCAGTGGGCCGAGGTGGCCCAGATGCCTGAGGGGGGCTGGCCCCAGGTGCTTCCTGAACTTGGAGGGGGGCAGGAGTATGGGGGCACAGAACCCACGGGCTGAGCCAGACAGCAGGCTCTGGGCTTCACTGCCCCAGCGATTTCCAGGCTCTCTGGCTGAGGCTGCCTGACTGGAGGGAACATCAGGGGAGAGGCTCCCAGAGGAGGGGGTGGGAGAAAGCGGGGTACGTGGCTTGAACTGGACCTGGGATGGCCGCCAGCTCCCAGGAGGGCCCACTGACCCTGCAGCTCCAGCCTTCTCCGCACTCCAGCGAAGACTGAGTTGTGGCAACTGATGTGACCAAAACCTGATGACAGACGGTGTCACGGACCTGGATGGCACCTCTGCCTTCCCTTCCTTCCTTCTGTCTGCACACCCTTGGGGCGCCCTCTTCAGTTGCTCTCTGTAGGCCGGGGTGTCCCCACTGTTTTCTTAGATTTGTATATGTCACCTTGGCAACCATGAATTACACGACCAAACTTACGGCCACGGCTGTTCTCCTCGCTTCCATCCAGAGCCCACACCCTGACCCGCCTCCTCACCTAACTCCTGCACAAGCCCCTACTTCCCCTGCCCTGAGTCGCCCAAGGCCAGGGACAGGCAACCAGGACAGCCACCGTGCACCAAGGCCAGATGGCTTTCTTTTCTTTTCTTTTTTAAATGGAGTTTCGCTCTCGCTGCCCAGGCTGGAGTACAATGGCGCAATCTCAAATCACTGGCAACCTCCACCTCCTGGGTTCAAGCGATTCTCCTGCCTCAGCCTCCCAAGTAGCTGGGATTACAGGCGCCCACCACCATGCCTAGTTAACTTTTTATATTTTTAGTAGAGATGGGGTTTCACCATGTTGGCCAGGCTGGTCTTGAACTCCTGAACACGGGTGATCTGCCTGCCTTGGCCTCCCAAAGTGCTGGGATTACAGGTGTGAGCCACCGCGCCCAGTCAAGATGGCATTTTTCAAGCTGGCCCATTCTGAACTGCTCACCCCGCCCTCCCTGCCCTTCCCACAGAATCCTTAGCCAAGGCTCTGGTCTTAGCTTTTCCCCCTCTGCCTCCTGACAAAACATGGGCGCTTCTCATGTCGCCCTGTATAGTGTGGGTGTCCCCATCGCTAAGGAAATGCAAGTAATAAAAATCTCCAATAACATCAGGTTCTCCATGTCTCCACTCAGTTACCTCCATGAACTGAAAAGCCTGCAGGTAGGCCACTTGTCCCTGTAATCCCAGCACTTTGGGAGGCCAAGGTGGGAAGATCACTTGAGCTCAGGAGTTTTGAGACTAGCCTGGGCAACATGGTGAAACCCCATTTCTACAAAAGTTGGCCAGGCATGCACTTGTGGTCCAGCTACTCAGGAGGCTGAGGTGGGAAGATCACTCAAGCCCAGGAGATCACTCATGCCACTGCACTCCAGACTAGAGTGAGTGAGAGTGAGACTCCATCTAAAAAAAAAAGTATAGTTTTTTTTTCTTCTTTTGTTTTTTGAGATGAGGTCTTGGATCTGTCACCCAGGCTAGAGTGCAGTGGTGTGATCTTGGCTCACTGCAGCCTCGGCCTCCTGGGTTCAAGCGATTCTCCCACCTCAGCTGGGATTACTGGGGCACACCACCGCGCCCAGCTACTTTTTGCATTTTTAGTAGAGATGGGGTTTCACCATGTTGGCCAGGCTGGTCTCGAACTTCTGACCTCAGGTGATCCACCTGCCTCGGCCTCCCAAAGTTGTGTAGAGCCACTGCACCCGGCCTCTGGAGTACAATGAATGGCGTGATCTCGGCTCAGCACAAACTCTGCCTTCTGTGTAGAGTTCCAGCAATTCTGCCTCGGCCTCCCGAGTAGCTGACCATGTTGGCCTGCCTGGTCATTTTAGGTCAGGAGTTCGAGACCACCCAGGCCAACATTGTGAAATCCTGTCTCTACTAAAAATAAAAAAATTAGCTGGGAGTGGCAGTGAGCGCCTGTAATCCCAGATACTCGGGAGGCTGAGGCAGGAGAATCGCTTGAACCGGGGAGGCAGAGGTTGCAGTGAGCCAAGATCGCACCCTTGCGCTCCAGCCTGGGCGACAGAGTGAAACTCCGTCTCAAAAAAAAAAAAAAAAAAAAAAAAAAAAAAAAGACACAACAATGAATGCAGTGTGTCATCCTGGACTGAATCCTCAACAGGGAAAAAAAGGTATAAAGGACATTTGAGACGAGTTAAATCTGGACTATGGGCTGAGTTCGGATTTTGATCATTGTACTGTGTGGTTCCTAAGAGTAAATACACAGCAAAGTGTTTAGGTATCTCCAGCTTCTCAAGTGGTTTAGGAAAAAAATCCAGTATGTTTACATTTATAGAGACAATGATTCGAAAATGGAGCAAAATGTAAACAGGAGGTTGAAGGGGTGGCCTGCCCCTCCACACCTGTGGGTGTTTCTCGTTAGGTGGAACGAGAGACTTGAGAAAAGAAATAAGACACAGAGACAAAGTATAGAGAAAGAAAAGCGGGGGCCCAGGGGACGGGCGCTCAGCTTACAGAGGACCCACGCCGGCACCGGTCTCTGAGTTCCCTTAGTATTTATAGATAATTATCTTTACCATCTTAAAGATAAGGGAGTGGCAGGACAATTGGATCGTTTTTAGGGAGGAAATCAGCAGTAAGACATAAGAACAAGGATCTCTGTGACATGAATAAGTTTAAAGGAAAATCCTGTGCCATGAGATAAACCTTTTAGGCCGGGCGCGGTGGCTCACGCCTGAAATCCCAGCACTTTGGGAGGCCGAGGTGGGCGGATCACGAGGTCAGGAGATCGAGACCATCCTGGCTAACACGGTGAAACCCCGTCTCTACTAAAAATGCAAAAAATTAGCCAGGCGAGGTGGCGGGCGCCTGTAGTCCCAGCTACTCGGGAGGCTGAGGCAGGAGAATGGCGTAAACCCGGGAGGCGGAGCTTGCAGTGAGCTGAGATCCGGGCCACTGCACTCCAGCCTGGGCGACAGAGCCAGACTCCATCTCAAAAAAAAAAAAAAAAAAAGAGATAAACCTTTTAGCGGCATTGTTTCATCCTATCACAGGGGGATAAACCTTGGACAATACCTAGCTTTTCGGGCAACAAAGACACACCCTGCACGCCCAAAATCCATTAAACCTTGAGTTACCACAGCACATGTCTCTTGCAAGGACAAGGTTGGGGGTAGGGTCACAGATTAACAGCATCTCAAATACAGAACAAAATGGAGTCTCTTATATCTACTTATTTCTATATAGAGGCAGTAACAGGCTGATCTCTTTCTTTTCCCCACAGGAGGTGAATTTGGTTCGAGAGTATTAAACAAATGGAGCAAATGAAAACAGTTGGCACGTTTCCGTAGCAAACACTGAGGAGTTTTCCTTGTACTAGTATTCCAACTTTTCTATGATTAAGAAAAAATCATATCCAAGTATAATGAAAAGTTACAAAGAAACTGCACACCTCCCATCATTTTTGTGGTAATATAGCAGAAATATAAAATTACCCATAAAACTTTTTTTTTTTTTTTTTTAGAGACTCTGGCTCCGTTGCCCAGGCTGTTGTGCAATCTGAGCTCACTGCAGCCTCCACCTCCAGGGCTCAGGCGAGCCTCCCGCCTCAGCCTCCTGAGTAGCTGGGTCCTCAGGCGCGCGCCATCACCGCGCCCGGCTAATTTCTTTTTAATTTTTTGTAGAGCTTGGGGTCTCACTATGTTGCCCAGGCTGGTCTGGAACTCCTGGACTCAAGTGATCCTGCCCCCTCGGCCTCCGAAAGTGCTGGGATTGCAGGCATTGGCACCACCGCGAAAAGCTTAGAATTTCTAGGGCCGGCGCGGTGGCTCAGGCCTGTAATCCCAGCAGAGGCCAGGAGTCCGAGAGCAGCCTGGCCAACGCAGGGAGACCTCCCCTCTACAAAAAACACAAAAAATTAGCCGGGCTGGCGGCGCGCGCCTGACGTCCCGCTACTAGGGAGGCGGAGGCCGCGGCGAGCCGAGGTCCGGCCGCTGCACCGCAGCCAGGGCGACCGGGCGAGACCCCATCTCAAAATGAGTAAGTCAACAAGGAGAAGGCTTCAGGGGCAACGGGCACTTTCCCAGCGACGCGACCATCTCCACCTCGGTTCCTGAACATTCTAGTGGCCCTAGGAGGCGGCCTGGCCCTCCCCGCCCGCGCCACACCCGGCGTTCCCCGGCCCCGGCGCCCCTGTCCCGGGTCCGCGGCCCTCATGGCGCCCTCGGAGCCACAGCTGCGGCCGGGCCGTGCTCCAGGAGGATCCGCGCTGCAGCTGCTGTTTATTCATCGCCTGCGGATGGCCACGGGCGCTGCGGCCCCTTTTTCCTTTCAGTCCCCGCCACGGCCCCACACCCGCTCCCCCACAAGCGCCACCATCGCGGGTTCAGAGACGCAGCCCGGCACCCGCGGGCTGACGGGAGACGACCTTCGCCCCGGAAGTCATCGCAGGCGCTGACCCGGAAGCGCTCGTGACCGCCATTTCCGACCCAGGCAAGATGGCGGCGGCGCGGCGCGTGCGTTGTTGAGTATACGGGACGCCGGCCTGCAGGCACCATGGTCTTCCTCACGGCGCAGCTCTGGCTGCGGAATCGCGTCACCGACCGCTACTTTCGGATCCAGGAGGTGCTGAAGCACGCCAGGGTGAGTGCCGCCCGCCCGGCCTGGGCACTGGGCGCGCGGGGGATCCCGCGGGCCAAGGGGCGGCCGGCGCGGGCCTCGCTGACAACCTTGGTTTCTCGTTTTCTGACCCAGCACTTCCGGGGGAGGAAAAATCGCTGCTACAGTTTGGCGGTCAGAGCCGTGATTCGAGCCTTTGTGAAATGCACCAAAGCCCGATACCTGAAGAAAAAGAACATGAGGACCGTAAGCGTGGACCCGGGACACCCGTCGGCCAGGGCGGTCGCGGCCCCTGCGTCTCTGCTTCGCGACCCAGCGAGTGTGCAGCCGCTCGGCCACCCTCAGCTCCTTCCTTTCTTCCTTTCATACCTCGCTTCGAAACTCCGACAAATTATGTCGTCCCGCAGGCTGACTGTGGGACATCCGTTCTCCCGCCCCCCTCGCCACCCCCACTGTCAACCCCGCTCTAACCCCTCGCCCGGGCCACTGCAGAGCCGCCTTGCCACTCTTTCTGCGTCGCCAGCCACCGCCCTAGTCGCTGCTGCTCTCATCTCCCCTCCGGTGGCTTCCCTTCCCTCCGGCAGCTGAAGTCAACACAGCCCCTTGCCCACCCTCCAGGGCCACTGGCTGCTGCCGTGGTGGTCCTCGAAGAGACCACGCCTGCTGGCAAGCTCTGCACACCCTGAACCCCCGGCATTTTTGAGAGGCTAGCGCCTCCACTCTGTCCACGTGCCATCTCATTTCTGCGCCTCACCACTCCCGCCTCAGCCTCATGAACCTAGCATCCAACATACCCGTGTTTTTGTTTTTTTGTGTTTTTTTTGGAGTGCAATGGCGTGATCTAGGCTTAATGCAACCTCCGCCTCCCGGGTTCATGCGATTCTCCCACCCCAGTCTCCCGAGTAACTGGGACGGCAGGTGTGCGCCACCAAGCTAATTTTTGTGTTTTTAGTAGAGACCGGGTTCAGCTATGTTGGCCAGGCTGGTGTCGAACTCCTGACCTGAAATGATCGGCCTGCCTTGCCCTCCTAAAGTGCTGGGATTACAGGTCTGAGCCACTGCGCCCAGCCGGGTTTTTGCTGTTTTTAATTTTGAAACAGGGTCTTGATTTCACTCAGGCTGGAGTGTGCACATGTCACCATCATAGCTATTTGCTTTTTTTATTTTCCTATTTACTTTTAGAAAAATATTCCTTAGTTCAATTAGAGTCTTTGCTAGGACATAACATCCAGAAGTCATTTTTAAGTATCTCCATGTTTTCTTATTTCAGCTCTGGATTAATCGAATTACAGCTGCTAGCCAGGAACACGGCCTGAAGTATCCAGCGTTCATTGGCAATTTAGTTAAGGTATGGGTGAGCATGTGGGCCCCGCTGAAATTATGGACGTCTGCAGAAACCATCATGTGGGGTGTGGCGGTGCCTCCCGTAGCCCAGCTACTCAGGAGGCTTTGGCCAGAGGATCCCTGAGACTGACTTCTGGGCTGTAGTTTTCTTTGCTGATGGGGTGTCCGTGTTAAGTTTGGTATCAATATGGTGACCTCTTGGGAGCAGGGGACCACCAGGTTGCCTAAGGAGGGGTGAACCAACCCAGGTTGGAAACGGAGCAGGTCACAGTTCCCATGTTGATGAGTGATGGGATCGTGCCTAGGAATAGTGCCAGCAACAGCCTGGGCAACATAGTGAGACCACTCTCTACAAAAAAAAACTATTAAAAATAGCTGGGTGTGGTGGCACAGACCTGTAGTGTCAGCTATTGAGGAGTCTGAGGCAGGAGGATCACTTTGAGCCCCCAGGGGTTTGAAGCTGCAGTGAGCTATGATGGCACCACTGTACTCCAGCTTAGGTGAGAGCGAGACCCTGTCTGACAAAGAGTAAAGAAAGCCATGGCCGGGTGGGGTGGCTCACGTCTGTGATCCCAGCACTTTGGGAGGCTGAGGTGGGCAGGAGTTGGAGACTATCCTGGCCAAGGTAGTGAAACCCTGTCTGTACTAAAAATACAAACATTAGCCGGACGTGGTGGCGGGCACCTAGAATTCCACCTACTCCGGAGGCTGAGGCAGGAAAATCGCTTGACAACTTGGGAGGTGGAGGCTACAGTGAGCTGAGATCACACAACTGCGCTCCAGCCTGGGCAACAGAGCAAGACTCCATCTCAAAAAATAAATAAAACCCTCCCATCAGACCTGACCCAGCCCGGTAGTGGTCCATGCAGCAGAGGTGAGGGGTGCCACTCCCGCTGCACTGTAGCTGCACTCTGTCTTGGTGTGGGGTTCTCGCAAGTCTGGGAGCTTACCACACTGGTTGGCAGCAGAGCAGAATTGGAAACAAGTCATGTGTTTCTGAGATGTAAGTCCTGATGTTTCCCCATTAAGAGAAAAGAGGCCGGGCGTGGTGGCTCACGCCTGTTATCCCAACACGTTGGAAAGCTGAGGTGGACAGATCACAAGGTCAGGAGATGGAGACCATCCTGGCTAACACGGTGAAACCCCGTCTCTACTAAAAATACAAGAAATTAGCTGGGCATGGTAGTGGGCTTCTGTAGTCCCAGCTACTCTGGAGGCTGAGGCAGGAGAATCACTTGAACTTGGGAGGCAGAGACTGCAGTGAGCCGAGATCACACCACTGCACTCCAGCCTGGGTGACAGAACAAGACTGTCTCAAAAAAAAAAAAGTAAAAGAAAAAGGGTGTAGAAAAACTTAACTGTAGCTTCAAAGTTTAATTTAAAAGTTTAAACAATGAAGTTGGGTGTGGCGGCTCACACTTGTAATCCCAGTACTTTGAGAGGCCAAGGCAGGCAGATCACCTGACATCAGGAGTTTGGTAGGGACGGGGTTTCACCGTGTTAGCCAGGATGGTCTGGATCTCCTGACCTTTTGATCCGCCCGTCTTGGCCTCCCAAAGTGCTGGGATTACAGGCTTGAGCCACCGCGCCTGGCCCTTTTTCTTGTATTTTTTAGGACAGATGAGGTTTTTCCATGTTGGTCAGGCCAGTCTCGAACCTCCGACCCCAGGTGACCTGCCTGCCTTGGCCTCCCAAAGTGCTGGAATTACAGGCGAGACACCGCACCCAGCCTTGGTAGCTGAATTTAATGCTCAGATACAGCCCCCCTTCTTTTCTGCTCCTTAAACTCTGGCATTGTTCACTAGCTTCTGAAATCATCTGCAGTTCTTAGCTCTCTTGTGGGCACTTCACTAGTTTCTGAAATCCTCTGCGGGTCTTGTGAGCACTTCCAAGTTGGCTTAAAGTGTTACCCCAGGCCAGCAGTCAGTTCAGTCAGGGTGGTGACCAAAGACCCTGAACAAGGCGTTTGGTTCCCTGGGCTAACGTTGGGATTGGGCTCCAGCCGCCCTGCGGATTCCACAGTTGCCTCCCTCACCGTTGTCCACATTTATCCTTCAGCATCCTGCCTGCAAGTCCTCTGCTGTGCCACCCAGATAGGATCCTCCTGGGCCTTCCCTCCCCCCAGGCGAGTGTGCAGCCTGAGCCAGCGCCGCACCCACGCACACTGACTGCAGGTTCTGATTCTTTCTTTTCCCAGTGCCAGGTGGAGCTCAACAGGAAAGTCCTAGCCGATCTGGCCATCTACGAACCAAAGACTTTTAAATCTTTGGCTGCCTTGGCCAACAGGAGGCGACACGAAGGATTTGCTGCTGCCTTGGGGGATGGGAAGGAACCTGAAGGCATTTTTTCCAGGGTGGTGCAGTACCACTGAGGACTGTTGCTGTATTGATTAGGAAAAGACACAGAGTAATTTGCAGTTTGTTTGATTTGTTCTTTTGTTTATCTACATCCCAGTAACAGGCATGAGGGAAGGCCCTGTCTCTCCGGGACAGAGTGTCACAGATGACGTCTGTGTTTTGTGTGAATGAAACTCAAACACTTCAGTTTTTGGAGTCATTTTCTGATAGCGAGCGTGCGCATGGAGGAGCACGTCCTGCTTCCAACCAAGGCTGCGGCGACACCTGGCTGTGGGATGCAGCTGAGCAGGCAGCTGCCTTCTGCACATGGTGGGGGGTCCCTACCTGGGCTCCCCTCAAGGGCTGCGTGCACAGTGCCCACTTTCCAGTTCCCTGACCCACCCTGAGTCCCTACTCCATTCCGCTCAGGGCTGACCTCAGCCCTGTCTTCCCCGGCCTCCAGTGTTCTTACGTCCAGCAGGGCCCTGTGGCTCAGTTCAGCCGCCACTCAGAACAGCACCTTCAGCTTCCCTGTCCGCCAGATTCAGCACCCAGCAGGGACTGGAGGAAACGCTCACATCGGGTGGTGGCCTGGTCCCCGCTGGCTGAACTGGCTTTTCAGGCATCTCCAGGAAGCAACATCCAACAGACAACTATCCCTTAACCCCAAGGGTGATGCACACTTCTCCCCTGGTCTTTCTGCCCCAGGAAGGCTCTTGAAACCCTGGTTATCAGCCGCTGTCTACCTGCTGATGCCCCCCCACATTTACCTAGCAGTGCACAGACCCCTGCTGCAACCTGCTTGTTTTGCTGACCCTGCCATAGGAGCGCCTAAGCTGAATGCCCATCTTCCCCCCTGCAAAGGCAGGTGGCTTGCATCCTGTGGCAATGTGCCCTTCACCCTTTGCCAGCAGTTGCTGGGGAGTCTTTCTGGCCCCTTTCTCAGACTCACCACCTACCTCCAACCTGCACAGAACAATCAGAGTCCTGGCCACTTGCTAGAGATGGCTTCAGGCCGACCACTCCATCCTCACTGCAGGCCTTCTTTTTGGCTTCCATAACTGCATGGCCCCTTAAGAGGTCCCCCTCCTGGCCCTTGTCACTGCCTGATGACAGCCGCTATGCTCTATGACTTTGGAGGCCAGGGACCAAGTCTCGTTCACTGTCCTTTCCACTGCCTGAGTGCAGTGTCTGGCTATGCGGGGCACTCAGTGCCTGTGAGCCCTTGGTAAATGGCTTCTGGACAACGGGGTCAAGGACAGCCTTGGGCGGCCACGTTCTGTGCATTATGCGGTGCTGTGGCAAAGCTGCCTTTTCTGCATTTCATGTCAGTGAAGGAAGACATGGATGCGCAGAGCCCTGTGGGTTGCTCCCAGCACTCATTTGGTTTGTACCATAGTCCTGTTTCCAGGCAGCCCCGGGGTCTGCCCCTGATTGGCTGGAGGCACCACCAACCTCCCAGTCCTCGGGCAGTCACAGCTCAGGGCAAGCAGCACCAATGAGAAACCAGCTGTGTAGAAGAGGAAACTCCTTCTTTACTGGAGAGCTTGCAGTTGTAACAGACAAGACATCCCTGAGCTGCCAGCCTGGGGAAAGAGGACATGAGTAAAGCTGTAACCACACCGTGTTGCCCATAGCAGGCGGTGAGGAGAGTGGGTCTTAGTTGGCACTGTTTGAGCTGCAGTATCAATCATGGCAGAGCTAGTGGACAGCTGGACCTGGGGGTAGCGGTGAAGAGCAATGGTGGCCTCTGGATTTGAGCCCGTTTGAGCTAGGCAGTCACTGGCAGCTCGGTGTGTGAACCTGCAACCACTCAGGCCTCTGCTGCCCTTCCCTCTTCTCACTGCTTCACCCTTCCCCTGCCCCACGCAGGCTTCCCCACTATCCTCACCCGTGGTCCTGCACTAGTCCTGGCAAAGGTTCCGGTAACTGTAGCAACAGATACCTACTGCCCCTCCTGCACAGCTGTGGTCGATCAGCGATGTTAAGACGTTACAAACGCAAGAACCCCCTCACTGTCTCCCTGGCGTTTGTGGGGTAGCTCCTTCACACGTACAGCACCGGACCTCCCTCCCCCGACTCCTTCCGGGGCCTGAACCTTGAGGTACTTAGGCCTCCCAATGCTGGAGGGGCTCTGTAGAGGCGTCGAGGCCACGTTTCCAGTCCCCCCTCCACCCGTGTCTCCCCAGGGGCTGAGTTTTGAAGGCAAGACTTTGCGGGAGTCTGGCGTTAATACGCATCCCAAAAACCTGGAGTCAATAAGGACTGAAGACACGACGCCGACGGCGGCCGGGTGACTCCGGGCACGCGCGTCTCATCCAGGGCAAGGCCAAGCGGAGCCTCTGACCCTGCCCGCGCCCAGGGAACAGCAGTGGGCGGTCGTCCCGCCCCAGATCCGACCGAGATGGACCCCCTTGACCCACAGGCGTTTTGAGACGCGAGCTTCCGCGATCCGAGGTCTCTGTGCGAACGTGGGCATCTTGGAAGAGTCCCAGCCCCGCTCGGGGCGCACACACAAGCACTCTCAGCACCGCACCCGCGACCCGCGCCTCCGCTCGGGACAGACACGCTTCCGGGGTCGGCCGGCACCGCAGAGCCTGCTGGGTAACGAGCCCGCCCCACCCACGCCAGGTTCCGGCGTCGGCGTTTGGCGCGTTGCTGACGGGCAGGTTGCGTAGCCAATTGCCGCTAGGCGGCGTCCCGCTGGTCGCGGGCCGAACCAATGACACGCGAAGAGGCGGGCCGTGGAGCGTCCCGAGGAGCCGCCCTGCGGGAAGAAGCCGAAGGGGAGTCGGCGGCACAAAATGGCGGCGGCGGCGGCGGCGGCGGCGGCTGGGGCTGCAGGGTCGGCCGCTCCCGCAGCAGCAGCGGCCGGCGCCCCGGGCTCTGGGGGCGCGCCCTCGGGGTCGCAGGGGGTGCTGATCGGGGACAGGCTGTACTCTGGGGTGCTCATCACCTTGGAGAACTGCCTCCTGCCTGACGACAAGCTCCGTTTCACGCCGTCCATGTCGAGTGGCCTCGACACCGACACAGAGACTGACCTCCGCGTGGTGGGCTGCGAGCTCATCCAGGCGGCCGGCATCCTGCTCCGCCTGCCGCAGGTGAGGGCGCGGCCGCGAGCCTCGGGCCCAGGTAACCGCTGGGGCGGCAGCCGCCCTTTGTTGGCGGCGAGTCGGGCCCGCGCCGCCCCAGCCCTGACCCCGAGCCCAGCCCCTGCCCCGACCGCAGCCCCTGCTGCGACCCCAGCCCCTAGCCAGCCCGTGCCCCTGACCCAGGGCCTCCCCGCCCGCCAGCGCGCTGGATCCCGCGACGGCGGGACGCGAAGAGCCTTTGTGGACGTGGGAAGTGTTTCAGTGTTTGGTTCTGCGTGGGGAGTCCCACGTTACTCGATGACTTTTGGCCGCGAAAGCTTTGAATGGTGCGTTTGAAAATACAGAAACTTTCTTCTACTTTAGGTGGCCATGGCTACCGGGCAGGTGTTGTTCCAGCGGTTCTTTTATACCAAGTCCTTCGTGAAGCACTCCATGGAGGTAAGGTTTCCTCCTGCACTTCATTCCTAGCGAAATATGTTGCGGGGAAAACAGTTTGTTATTTTGCCCGGGTACTCAGGGGAGCGAGTACCTGCCCCCTAGTCTGAGCTCTGTGCCGGAGGGTTCTGTTTCTTGGTTTTTTTTTTCCCTGGGTGCACCTCCCTTTTGGTCTGAATAGCCTTCAAGCCTTTGGCGGCCGTCAGGACGCCGTGGCTGGGGACAAACATGGGCGTGTTGCAATGCTTCCGCTTCAGCATGTATCAATGGCCTGTGTCCACCTGGCTTCCAAGATAGAAGAGGCTCCAAGACGCATACGGGACGTCATCAATGTGTTTCACCGCCTTCGACAGCTGAGAGAGAAAAAGTGAGTCGGTCAGAGTTGTTTAGTCTATCATAGGTGTCTGTTTCCTTTTTTTTTGGTGAAGCTGCAGTGACACTTGTATAACAGTACAGGCCTGAGGTTCTAAACATGTGGGATGTTCATGAGCGCATTCTCAAGTTCCACGAACAGGGTCTGCTTAGAGGCATCGGCAGATGCTGTTCAGTGAGGGCAGGGGCTCCAGTAAGGATAGTGCACTGTGGCGGGTCATGCCGGCGCTAGTGCACAGCCCTGTTGCTGTTTCTTTCCTACAGGTTTCCGAACGCTCTACAGCAGGGAGTCTTATTCTCAGCACTATTGACGTTCAGGCTGGATAATCTTTTTTTTCCCCTTGAGACGGTTTCCTGTTGTCCAGGGCAGAGTGTGGTGGCATGATCATGGTTCACTGCAGCCTCAATCTTGTAAGCTCAAGAGTTTCTCCTGCCTCAGCCTCCTGAGTAGCTGGGACTACAGGAGCACGACACCATGCCAGCTAATTTTTATTTGGTAGAGATGTGGTCACGCTGTGTTGCCCAGGCTGGTCTCAAATTCCTGGGCCCCAAGGATTTGCGGGGCTTAGCCTCCCAAAGCGCTGGGATTACAGGTTTCAGCCACCGCATCTGGCTGGGTAATCTTTAGTTGTAGGAGATTCTCCTGTGTGTTGCAGGATTCAGCAACATCCCTGGCCTCTACTCACTGGATGACAGAAGTACCCCACCTTAGTTGTGACAGCCAGAAATTCTCTCATACCAGGTGTGGTGGCTCACACCTGTAATCCCAGCACTTGGGAGACTGAAGAAGGTTTGCTTGAGGCCAGGAGATTGAGACTACAGTTATCTGTGATGTCACTACTGCACTCCAGCCTGGATGGCAGAGTGAGATCCTGTTTACAAAAAACCCAAAAGTATCTTGATGTTGCTTCACGGCCCTGGAATAGCAAAATTTCTCCAGCAGAGAACCGTTGTCTCTGACCCAGGGTTTATGCACCTGAAGTTAATGGAAGTCTTTTAGAAAACACAGCCTCGCCGGGTGTGGTGGCTCACGTCTGTATTCCCAGCACTTTGGGAGGCCGAGGCGGGCGGATCAAAAGGTCAGCAGATGGAGACCATCCTGGCTAACACGGTGAAACCCTGTCTCTACTAAAAATACAAAAAAGCCGGGCGAGGTGGCGGGTGCCTGTGGTCCCAGCTACTCGGGAGGCCGAAGCAGGAGAATGACGTGAACCCGGGAGGCGGAGCTTGCAGCGATCCGAGATGGTGCCACTGCACTCCAGCTTGGGTGACAGAGCAAGACTCTGTCTCAAAAAAAAACAAAACTAGCTGGGTGTGGTTGTGGGTGCCTATAATCCCAGCTACTCGGGAGGGTGAGGCAGGAGAACCGTTGGAACCTGGAAGGTAGAGGTTGCAGTGAGCTGAGATTGTGCCATTGCACTCCAGCCTGGGCAACAAGAGTGAAACTGCGTCTCAAAACAAAATAAAACCCTGACCTTGCCGGGCGTGGCGGCTTACGCCTGTGATCCCAGCACTTTGGGAGGCCGAGGTGGGGGGGATCATCTGAGGTCGGGAGTTCGAGACCAGCCTGACCAACATGGAGAAACCCCATCTCTACTGAAAATACAAAATTAGCCAGGTGTGGTGGCAGGTGCCTGTAGTCCTAGCTACTCGGCAGGCTGAGGCAGGAGAATTGCTTGAACCCGGGAGGTGGAGATTATAGTGAGCCGAGATCGCACCACTGCACTCCAGCCTGGGGGATAAGAGCAAGAGTCTCTTTCAAAAAAAGAAGAAACATGGGCTTATCGGCCTCCCAGGGTGCTGGGATTACAGGTGTGAGCCACCGCGCCCGGCCCTTTTTTTTGTTATTTTTTTTGAGATGGAGTCTCACTGTGTCTCACTGTGTCACCCTGGCTAGAGTGCAGTGATGTAATCTTGGCTCACTGAAACCTCTGCTTCCTGGGTTCAAGTGAATCTCCTGCCTCAGCCTCCTGAGTAGCTGGGATTATATGCACCCACCACCACACCAGGCTAATTTTTATATTTTTTTAGTGGAGATGGGGTTTCACCATGTTGGTCAGACTGGTGTCATACTCTTGAGCTCAGGCAATCTGCCTGCCTTGGCCTCCCAAAGTGCTGGTGTTACAGGCGTAAGCTACCGCATCTGGCCCATCTGTATTTAAATATTGTGCTTTCATTGGTTCTATGGTTGTGGAACTTCAATATGTATCCTCATTTTTTTTTTTTTTTTGAGATGGAGTCTCGCTCTGTCGCCCAGGCTGGAGTGCAGTGGCCAGATCTCAGCTCACTGCAAGCCCCGCCTCCCGGGTTTACGCCATTCTCCTGCCTCAGCCTCCCAAATAGCTGGGACTACAGGTGCCCGCCACCTCGCCTGGCTAGTTTTTTGCATTTTTTAGTAGAGACGGGGTTTCACCGTGTTAGCCAGGATGGTCTTGATCTCCTGACCTCGTGATCCGCTCGTCTCGGCCTCCCAAAGTGCTGGGATTACAGGCTTGAGCCACCGCGCCCGGCCCCATATCCTCATATCTTGAGTCACATAAAGTGCTGTTAGCATTTGTGCCATGAGATCCTAAAACTGTTGCTATGTTCGGTCTATGCTTGTGCACCAGAAGCTGTTGATCTGTAAGGAAAAGTGGGGAGGATCGTTAGGAAGGGATGAGTAGGTTGGCACTGGGCTGTGAGAAACGGTGTGCGGTTTTGTTCCTCAGAGGACATGGACTTTGCAGCGATGTTGTGTTGTGGGGTTTGCGTTTTTAAGTTAGGTGCTCAGTGGGAGGTAATGATGGGATCTCAGAAGGCTTGCTCTGCTCAACTGTGATGGATACCCTCTGCTCTCTCTTTGGCAGGAAGCCCGTGCCTCTACTATTGGATCAAGATTATGTTAATTTAAAGAACCAAATTATAAAGGCGGAAAGACGAGTTCTCAAAGAGCTGGGTTTCTGCGTCCATGTGAAGCATCCTCATAAGGTGGGTGTGCGGCTCCTGCCCTGCCAGCCCGCCTAGGCCGCCTCTCTCCACCTCAGTGCAGCTGAAGGCTCTGAAGAGGGCTGAGTGCCTCCCTGACTTGGCTTCCCGGTTTCCATCTGTCTGTCATCTCAAAAGTAGCTCCTGACGCATTAGTCTTCTAGTGTCAGCTGTTTATTTTAGTAATATATTTTTAAGAGTTTTGGAAATGGCATTGTTTAAGTTTGGGCTTTCAAAAATAGTGGTGAGTTTATAAAAATTGAATTTTAGTTTACATTTTTCTTTCTCAACAGTGAAGTTTTTTTTTTTTTTTTTTCTTTTTTTTTTGAGGTGGAGTCTTGCTTTGTTGCCAGACTAGAGTGCAGTGGCATGGTGGCAGTGGCAATGGAGGCACAACCTCCACCTCCTGGGTTCAAGCGATTCTCCTGCCTCAGCCTCCCGAGTAGCTGGCCCTACAGGCACTGCCACCATGCCCGGCTGGTTTTTGTATTTTTAGTAGAGACAGGGTTTCACCACGTTGGCCAGAATGGTCTTGATCTCTTGCCCTCGTGATCCTCCAACCTTGACCTCCCAAAGTGCCGGGATTACAGGCATGAGCCACCGTGCCCAGCCTTTTTTTTTTTTTTTTTTTTTTTGAGACAGAATCTTACTCTGTCATGCAGGCTGCAGTGCAGTGGGGTGATCTCGGCTCACTGCAACCTGTGCCTCCCAGGTTCAAGTGATTCTCATGCCTCAGCCTCCCAAGTAGCTGGGATTACAGGCATGTGCCACCACACCTGGCTAATTTTTGTATCTTTAGTAGAGACGGGGTTTCACCATGTTGGCCAGGCTGGTCTCAAACTCCTGATTTCAGGCGATGTACCCAACTCAGCCTCCCAAAGTGCTGGAATTACAGGCGTGAACCACTGCACCCAGTCTCAACAGTTAATTTTCTAAAGTTGCTTTAGTGGTAGCCTTATTTCCTCTTATGGAGGAATTAGTGGAATTTTGGCCCCTTTAGCCTGAAATGACTGGCAAGTTTTGCGGCACGTACTGACTGAGGACCATGACCGCGACACTGCCCCTCAGTCCCAGCATTGTGGGTGCCTTCTGTGTTACATGGAAACAGAGCACTTTTGTTACTCAGAAAAATTGTTTCCATCTCCTTTATTACTGGTGGGTTTCCTCATTTGCTTGTTTGACTTTCTGCCATTTGTTCAAATTATACATAAATTGCCCACCACAGAACCACAGATTGAAGTGCTTTTCTTTTTTTTTTTTTTTTTTTTGGAGTCAGAGTCTTGCTGTATAGCCCTCTGCCTCCCGAGTACCTGGGATTACAGACATGCACCACCATGCCCAGCTAATTTTGTATTTTTAGTAGAGACTAGGTTTCTCCATATTGGTCAGGCTGGTCTCGAACTCCCGACCTCAGGTGATCCTCCCACCTCAGCCTCCCAAAGTGCTGGGATTACAGGCATGAGCCAGCATGCCCAGCCTGAAGTGTTCTTCTCTGTTTGCTGAAAGTATGTTCATATTGTATTTTGGTGAGTTGGTAATTGGGGTACAGAGACGTGTAGAACAGGCCAGCCTCACTGGTGGACAGGCCTTGGAGATGAGAATGAAACCAGCCCCATGAAGAATGAGGCCTGTGCCGTGGGTTGTGCACCTGGGCTCACAGGCATGCATCCTGCCTGGCTGCCAAGGCAGACAGCAGGTGCATCCGCAATGCTCCCTCCAGCCGAGCCATCTGCCAGACGTGTGGCCAGGAGCCACTCCTGGGATCTAGCATGAGGCTCTTATTTGCTGCATGGACACCCACAAGATCTGAATTCTGGGCTCTTAAGGTTCTTGGTAATAACTGCCTGACCCGTATCTTCCAGATAATCGTTATGTACCTTCAGGTGTTAGAGTGTGAGCGTAACCAACACCTGGTCCAGACCTCATGGTGAGTTGAGCTTCCTTGTTTTATGAGACCAGCAAGGGCAGTGCAGGAATGTATTGACTTGAGGCACTTGGGCAGTGGGTAGGCAGCCCAGTGACTTGGTTGTGGGCTGGAGTTGTCCGAGTGCCCAGTGCTCCTGCTGTATAAATTCCAGTCAGACTCCCAGAATGGGCACTGGCAGTCACGGTAGGTGGCCCGTCCCTCCCTGCAAGCCTGGACTTCCTGTGTCCCCCCCGAAGAGAGCAGTCAGTGGGCTTCATCTGGGAGCTGTTGACTTGGCGCAGGAGGACCTTTTCCCGGGAAAGGTGGAGGGACAGGCTAGTGTAGACTTTGTCTGTTTCTCCGCTGACATTGCATCCCATGGGAGAGGGGCAGAGAAGCTTCTGGGGCTGATTTTAGCAACGCATGTGCTAGAAAGGAACCCTAAAGTGGCAGTTTAGTATTGGGGGTATTTTGGTGAATTTTTTCCCATGGAGTTAAGTCTGTAAGGGTCATATTTTTGCTGACTGAATTGTCTGGTGCTATGACATGTTTAATAGAGAACCTATTTTGACTTTTCTTTTCTGTACTCTTTCAATCAAAGGGTAGCCTCTGAGGGTAAGTGACTAAGACTTCTCCTCTGCTGTCCAAGCGCTTTGGTGCAGGGACAGCGGCGTCTTCAGCCAATCCAGTGCAGGCTCTCCACCGAAGGCTGGCTCTAGACTGGTGGTACGCACATAGCATAGCCATGGCCGACTCCTGCTGTGGTTCTCTGACGATTGTGCTTCTTGTTAATCCTCTGTCGTGCTTTGGTAATTGTATTGATTAGAGTTGATAACTGTCTTGACTTGAATTTTGTCCCTTTAAAACTGCTGTACCTGTATGATAAAGATGCAGTACCTTTCTCTTAAAAAAAACAAATGGTATGGAAAGCTGTGAGAATTGAAAAGACAAATTGGCTGATGTCAGTGTGGGGTTATGTCATGATTTCTAGAAGCCCTAAAGTTGCTCTTTTCAGCAGCTTTGGGTGACACGCTCTGGTAAAAGGTGTGCATCTTTAAATTATTTCATGGATACTTTAAAAAATATTGTATCATTTCAAATACAGCAATAAGTTTCTATGTTCTCAAGATTTCATTTGTTTTTAAGAATTTAAAGTTCTTGGATTAATACTATCAGTACTTGAATACTGAAAGTTGTTGATTAGAAACCGAATGGTTACTGATTGTTGAGTGTATCTGTGTTAGAGCTGTGCACTGACATGCTTGCATCAGGGGGTGCGGCCACACAGACGCCACACAGATTCCCCCGTGATGCCTGGAGCTGCCTCCAGAGACTTACCATTTAGAAATCTCTGATGGGTTTGTATGTTACCTTCTCCAAGGTTTGTTTAGGGCAGATACTGGGGGAGGGCCATGGGTCGGATTCCTGCACGACCCGCCTGTCTGCTGGTGCAGCCCCGCTCCAGGGCTCACCACTATTGGGGTGTGTGAGGAGCAGTAAATATAAAACCAGTTCACCTGTCCTCACGGAATTACCCTTTTTGTTTTTGCAGTATTCATAAAGCTAGTATAAGGTCTGGTTTTAGTCTATTAAATCTTAGATATCTGAAGGAAAATGCGAAAAAGGTAGCCAGTTTTTAAATGTTTTAACTTTTAAAAAATGTAAATTTTTGTACTTTTATAGCTTCTAAACATGAAATTTAAAGAATGTACTGTGATGAAATGTTCAATATCATGTTGCTTCTCAGTATTGTGTTGCTTCTGATTCTATGAATGTTCATTTTAAGACTCCTTGTTGAAATGGGACAGTTGGCAGCGGCTCTGGTGAGCCTGAGAAGAGGCCTGCCCTTGGGTGCGGAGCCTCCCTCCGCACGACGCTCCCACGCGTCCAGCTTGCACCCGAGGGGCATTTCCCTCTTCCAAGTGGACTCCTTCAAGGAAGCTGCAGCTCGGTCAGCAGAGAAGGGGCCTGGCGCCAGCGCCCTGGAGGAAGAGGAAGAGGAGCGCAGGAGGATGGCTTGTCTCGCAGCAGCCACGCCGGCTTCGTGCTCAGCCGGTTCATTTGAGTTTGCATGCTTCTCTGCACTATGGATTTTGAGCATTGAGATTCCTTTAATCGAAAGCGTTTTAGTGGCTCCAGTAGACATTTTCTTTCTGAGGCATCGTGCTTTGCATGAGAGCAGGCCAAGGTTGAGGGGAAAAGTAAAGTTAAAGTTGGTTCTCTTTCATAGCAACACGTATTGTCTGACATTCAGCCAGCTTTTTTTTTCTAATAATTTCTGTGCCTTCCTGTCCTGTATTTAGAAAAAGCAGCTAGAATATTTCTCCATTAACTCTTGAGATTCACAGGACTGTCTAGCTCTGAGTCCTAGCAATAGACTCCTTAGAGGAGTAGTAAATTTATCTAGACTTTCTCTAGATAATGCAGGCGGAAGACCTGGGTTCCCGGGGTGGGGCGCTGCAGCTCTTCCTGTGTTTGGCTTCCAGGAATTACATGAACGACAGCCTTCGTACGGATGTCTTCGTGCGGTTCCAGCCTGAGAGCATCGCCTGTGCCTGCATTTATCTTGCTGCCCGGACACTGGAGGTCAGTGTGTTGCTACTTTGGAGAGATTCTAGTCTGATTTTTTTTTTCGCCAGTCTCCAGTAAAGTTTACTGTAGTATTCTTCAAATTATGCTAATGTGGGCCAAAGCATTTTGGTAACCAACAGGCTGTTTTTTTAATTGTCCTGAGTCTTGCTGGCCTTGAAGTTGAGGAAAGTGTAACAGTGATGGTGTTTGTTTTTACAGATCCCTTTGCCCAATCGTCCCCATTGGTTTCTTTTGTTTGGAGCAACTGAAGAAGAAATTCAGGAAATCTGCTTAAAGATCTTGCAGCTTTATGCTCGGAAAAAGGTTCTTCAGCATTTTTTTATGTCATGTATGCATTTGTGTTTGGCCAGAAACACTTGATTCTGAACGGACGCCTTCTGACATTTGCAGGTTGATCTCACACACCTGGAGGGTGAAGTGGAAAAGCGAAAGCACGCTATGGAAGAGGCAAAGGCCCAAGCCCGGGGCCTGCTGCCTGGGGGTGCACAGGTGCTGGATGGTACCTCGGGGTTCTCACCTGCCCCCAAGCTGGGTGAGTCTGTTAGGGTGCAGGAATCCACTCCCCACAAAGGTGAAGGCCGGTGACCCTCCCAAACCTTCATTCTGGGGTATGTGCTCCTTCCAGACTTTTTTTTTTTTTTTTTTTTTTTTTGAGGCAGGGTCTCTGTCACCCAGGCTGGAGTGCAGTGGTATGATCATAGCTTACTGCAGCTTCCAACTCCTGGATTCAAGTGATCCTCCCGCCTCAGCTTTCTGTATAGCTAGGACTACAGGCACACGCCACCATGCTTGGCTAATTCTTTTTTGTTTTTTGTGTTTTTTTTTTGAGGTGGGGTCTCGCTCTGTTGCCCAGGCTGGAGTGCAGTGGTGCAATCTCGGCTTACTGCAAGCTCCGCCTCCCGGGTTCATGCCATTCTCCTGCCTTAGCCTCCCAAGTAGCTGGGACTACAGGCACCCGCCACCACGCCCAGCTAATTTTTTGTATTTTTAGTAGAGATGGGGTTTCACCATGTTAACCAGGATGGTCTCCATCTCCTGGCCTTGTGATCCGCCCGCCTTGGCCTCCCACAGTGCTGGGATTACAGAGCCACTGTGCCCAGCTTGCATTTCTTTTTTTTTTTTTTTTTTTTTTTTGAGACAGAGTTTCTCTCTTGTTGCCCAGACTGAGTGCATTGGCGTTGTCTCAGCTCACTGCAACCTCTGCCTCCCAGGTTCAAGCGATTTGCATGCCTCAGCCTCCCAAGTAGCTGGGATTACAGGCACCTGCCACCATACCCAGCTAATTTTGTATTTTTAGTAGAGATGGGGTTTCTCCATGTTGGTCAGACTGGTCTTGAACTCCTGATCTCAGGTGATCTGCCCACCTCGGCCTCCCAAAGTACTGGGATTACAGACGTGAGCCACTATGCCCAGCTTTCTTTTTTTTTTGAGACGGAGTCTTACTCTGTTCCTCAGCTTAGAGTGCAGTGGCACTATCTGGGATCACTACAACCTCTGCCTCCCAGGTTCTAGTGATTCTTGTGCCTCACCCTCCCAAGTAGCTGGGATTACAGGCGCCCACCACCACGCTCAGGTAATTTGTGTGTGTGTGTGTGTGTGTATATATACACACATATATATGTTTTGGGTTTTTTTTGTTTTGTGTTTCTTGAGATGGAGTCTTGCTCTGTTGCCAGGTGAGTACTGTGGCGTGATCTCGGCTCACTGTAACCTCCACCTCCTGGGTTCAAGCAATTCTCCTGTCTCAGCCTCTGGAGTAGCTGGGACTACAAGCGCGCACCACCAAGCCCACCTAATTTTTGTATTTTTAGTAGAGACAGGGTTTCACCATGTTGGCCAGGCTGGTCTTGATCTGTTGACTTCATGATCTCCCCGCCTCGGCCTCCCAAAGCGCTGGGCTTACAGGCGTGAGCCCCCGCGCCCGGCCCCATCTGCATTTCTGTGATGCCTGTGTAAGTTCCGGGTCCCAGGCTGGGAGCAGGCAGTTACAGTCTGCATCGCTGTTCGACCTGGAGAGGGGCCTTATCTTGCTCTACTAACTTGTTTCTTATTGGGAGAGTTTTTTTGTGGTTGGCTTTTAACCTCTTGTTCTGATTCTAGTGGAATCCCCCAAAGAAGGTAAGGGGAGCAAGCCTTCCCCACTCTCTGTGAAGAACACGAAGAGGAGGGTGGAGGGCACCAAGAAAGCCAAGGCAGACAGCCCTGTGAACGGGTAAGACCTCTGAGTGGCCCGGGTGGCTGTCGGGGTTGGCTGGAGAGACTTCTGGTCTGTAATTGGCTCCTGTCCTGTTCACAGCTTGCCGAAGGGGCGAGAGAGTCGAAGTCGGAGCCGGAGCCGTGAGCAGAGCTACTCAAGGTCCCCATCCCGATCGGCGTCTCCTAAGAGGAGGTGTGTGCCTCGGGGCGCACCCGGGAGGCCGATACCGGGTGGGGCTGTCCCTCGGGGTAATCATGCTCACCTGAGGTGGTTTCTTGTTTCTCTAAACCTGGAGCTGGTGTGTCTGAGCTCCTGTGGCCGTGTTGGGCCTGGCTGGCCAGACGGTCGGTTGCAGAACACGTGTTCTTCCTCCCAGGAAAAGTGACAGCGGCTCCACGTCTGGCGGGTCCAAGTCGCAGAGCCGCTCCCGGAGCCGGAGTGACTCCCCACCGAGACAGGCCCCCCGCAGTGCTCCCTACAAAGGCTCTGAGATTCGGGGCTCCCGGAAATCCAAGGACTGCAAGTACCCCCAGAAGCCACACAAGTCTCAGAGCCGGAGTTCATCCCGTTCCCGAAGCAGGTCACGGGAGCGGGTGGATAATCCAGGAAAATACAAGAAGAAAAGTCATTACTACAGAGATCAGCGACGGGAGCGCTCGAGGTCATACGAACGCACGGGCCGTCGCTATGAGCGGGACCACCCTGGGCACAGCAGGCATCGGAGGTGAGGTGGGGTTGCAGTGACTGGCGGCCGCAGGCCCTTCCCTGGGGGGGTTCCTGATGGCTGCCCTTTGACCCCCGGTGGCTGCCCTTTGACCCCCGGGTGTGCTCCTTCAGCGCAGGTGACCCTAGAGCAGGATTCTTTTTGGAAATGTATGTTGAGTGGACCTTGGTGGATTTGGAAATGGAACTGAGGGACCGGTGACATGTGCTTCAGACCGGTCTGGGGTGCGGCACACACCTGGACCCGTGTAGGGCCCGGCTCGGCGGCAGCTCTGAGGCCAGCTCGATGAAAAAGTGAACACACACGCCCCTGTTGGCGTGGCCTGGCGTGGCCTGGTGCTATCGGCAGCCGCTCTCCACTCCCTGACTGATACTCAATTACGTGAAGCCAAGAAAGATGATTTTTAGAATCTTTGCCTATATTAGGTTGTACTTATGTACATATTTTGCAGTGTTTCACAAGAGAAAATGGCCTTAATTGCCCCTTATTCTCTCTCCACGTTGTAAATAAACATGTGTTTAATACAAGTCAAAGCTATGTATGAAAACTCAGAACTTGAATCCTGTCAGCTTAAACCTTGTGTAGGGAATCCTGACTTTTAAACTGTGAGGGTATTTGGATCTGTGTTGAAAGTCGTATATTTTTATCTGTGCAGTGCTGAGTGCAGGCCACCAGCTCCTAAATAGAGGTTCCCTATATGCGCGTATGACATGGTGAATAAACACAGCTCTCTCCACTCAGGACATCTGGAGCGTTGTGGACGTGGTAGGTGGTCGTTCTGCGTGCTTGTGAAAGTGTCCGGCGTGTGCACAGCCGGCGTGCCCACTCTCGGGCTCCTTGCTTCCTGCTCTACTAAAGTTTTGGATTTTGCATCCAATCCTGTGTGCCTGCCCTTCTGCTGAAAGCTTGTGGGGGTCCTGAGCCCCCTGCCCATCAGGATGACAGGTTCCTTCCTGCAGGGCCATAGGAGGGAAGTTTTGGAAACACACAGAATGAGTCCAAAGTGCTCTCGTTCCTGAGGGGGACTGGTTTGTAACGCATGACATCTGTGTGTGGGCGTGAGAGGCAGCTGGGAGCAGGACACTTGGAGGGTCACCCCATCGGGGTGGCACATGCACTCTGAGTGCCCCCCACTGTTGTCAGCTGCCTCTTACCGTGGACTAGGGGCCCCACTCCTTGTGGTGCGGCTTGGGCTTACTAGGGCAGTGGAACGTATAGGCCGGGGCTAGTGGGATCATGGGGAGTTGTGCCTGATGGCTTTTGTTTTTGAGACGGAGTCTCGCTCTATCGCCCAGGCTGGAGTGCGGTGGCGCGATCTCGGCTCACTGCAAGCTCCGCCTTCCAGGTTCACGCCATTCTCCTGCCTCAGTCTCCCGAGTAGCTGGGACTACAGGCGCCGCCACTACGCCCAGCTAGTTTTTTGTATTTTTAGTAGAGACGGGGTTTCACCGTGTTAGCCAGGATGGTCTCGATCTCCTGACCTCGTGATCTGCCCACCTCGGCCTCCCAAAGTGCTGGGATTACAGGCGTGAGCCACCGCGCCTGACCGTGCCTGATGACTTTTTTGATGGAATTCTGTATTAGAGAATTGGTGGGACCCGAACTGAGGAGATTCCAGGGAGGGTGTCCTTCCAGGGGGAGCAGCTATGAGGGGCCCCTTAGCTTCCTGTGCCTGGAAGTAAGAGAACCAGTAAAGGGCCATACATGCCTGTACCCAAGAGACTTCTCTCCATTTGCTTTCCTTTTTACAGAATAATTGTAAAATTATTATGACATGAA